TCTGAGTAACATTTAAGAAACTACAAAACGAAAGCAATGACAGACAGCAAGTTGTAAATATGGCATTTCACCACATTTATTTGAACGCCTAAATGTAGTGCACTGCTTGCTTTTTAGTTTTTACAGTGCTGGTTCTAAAGTAATTCTAATTGTCAAGACTCATTACACTCACAATGTTCCAAAAACATCGCAATCAACCTCCACTAAATATCCGCCATCCGTATCGTTTTCATCACCGCAGACAATGGCAATGATTTCAATTGCGCAGCTTAAAACTTCCCGTCGACCGTCATCTTCTTCCTTCAATGCCGCGACCTTAAAGGTCTTCGCGTTTTCCACGCCAAACGTGTAACAGGTGGTAGCCTGATTAAAAAGTTTTTGAGCAAAGCGTTACGGACTATATTCGCACATTAACATTACCGATGAATCCATGCGTCCGGTCAAGGATTATTCTGTAGGTGAGATGTCAACATAAGCACAATGCAGGTTTCATGGAAGATGAAATTTTACTGCATATCACCAAAACTACATTGAGAACATTAAATCTACCAGTTCTCTGCAATCCGAAGACGTGTTTTCGCTTTAATGAATTTTATTCGTGCGTCATCTGTGCAGTTACGTGGACAAGAAAAACGTGACTAACGCCACACCTTATGTGCTCTGTTTATGTGAACTGGGCCGGCACACTACCGCTTGCGGTGTATGTAATTGTGCGCGGCACATGAGAAGAGCGGCGCCTTTGGTCTTTGGCAACTGTGTGGTCTGCCTTTGCCGAACTTATAGATCTTTATGTGATGCATGCGTGTAGTCAGAGGCGGTTTTAACAAAACCATACAGAGTCACTTAAAGAAGATTGAACCCGTTTATATCTCAATGATCTAGTGATTAATGTTAGCGCCATGGCGAAAAGAATCAAGCTGGAGGCGAATTCTCGTGAAGCGTCCTCATTTATGGCTGAAAAATATGGTTTTCAAAATTTGGAGCGCCTGAAAATTTGTTGCGCAGCTGTACCGAAAAGTTTGCCGTTTCCTCGTCGACTGAAGGTGAGATGTCCTCGCTTTGAATGAAGCTCTTTCGCTAAATAAATTTAAGTGACTACACCGTTAAAAGTTTCCTTATATTTGTAATGCGGGCAAAGCAGATAACATGCATTTTTTGAAGATCAAATTACTACCCAGGACACATTTTTAGTGCTCAGATTTGAAAAAATGTCTTCCGTAAGCATGCTACCTATATGCATTTCTTAAACGAAACATGCTTGTTACTGCGTAGTTAGTGTTAAGCACAGTTTGATAGAGGTTTTGCGCGCCACTTTCTCTTTACAATTAGTGCAGCAGCAGATGTACCTGTAATTTGTCAAGTAAGGACTGAACAAAAACCCTGGGTTGACTCTTGACACCGTTGTCCAACCCTTAACTTTGCTTTGGGTATTTTCGTGCAATGACAAACAAAATATTTTGTAGTAAGAAGCCAATAGTCAACCATTTGGAAGCAACGAAATAATCCACTGCAGGCGGCTTGAATTGGTTATACGAGTATAACGCAAACTGTCCTTTTCACTTTACTGGTTAAGTTACAGTACCTCGAATTTGACTGAAACGGAATATCGGATTTGTGCTCCCCTTTCTTGTAATGGACACCAGCCCAGATCCTGTTTGAAAAACGAGGCAGCCCCACCCCTCTCTAAAATTACCTTACACCTCACAATTAAGGCGACCGCTAGTGAATAGTAAGCGCTGCAAAATAATAGGTTGCCGAAAATTTCCTCCTGAAAACTGTGAGTTATGGTTAAACGGACATCAGAAGGATGTTGTGTTGGCATAACGTTGCTTAGGTAGGTGTATGCTCTATAAAACTCGCAAAGTCGTGCAATTCCATATGCCGATAAGCCGGTAACTACTGCGTTCGATTCGACTTAAACTGGATGGGTTCATTTTTGAATATACTGCCCCCTTCCAAAATTTTTTTCTTGACAAAAATTCCACCCCCTAAAAAATTGCGCCCCCATTCAGAAATAATGCCCCATTGGCCATGGCCTTAGACTATTTGCATCCGGGGCCACAGATTCGATAGATACGGTGTAAAATGCAGCAACTGCATTACTAGTGCAACAGGAGCACTGATTCTCCCAATGACCCTAGTACGTGCAGTTGCAGACATTTCAGGTTGGGCCAGTGATCGACGACTGTTATAGGCCATGTCTACCAAAGTGCCCGTTAACCTAAAATTATTACTGCCGCTCTCACAGAGCGCATACGGCAATATGTACATATTACAAAATATGAATCCCTGTGTGTATACTCATTTCGTATACTCGAACACACATGCTCTGAGAGGATCATAAGATAAAGCAATAAGGACTTCGACCGAGCATTTTTTAAACGTTTCAAATTATCTTAATTTCAGGTATTATCGGAAATGCTGGGGATGTCTAAGTTGTTAACAGACACCTTTTTGAAAGACTTTGAATCGTTTTCTCCCGCATTTCTGGAAACTGGTCCTTTTGTTGCCCCATTCCAAGTACTGTGTCCACCAGTTATCCATTGTCTGAAAGGCTGCGTGTGGAAAAAGGGTGCTAATAAAGGAATGCCCAGAGTCTTGCAATGGCACCGTGATCCAACCAATGTACGACCGTAATTGTATTGTATTGTTAGAAAATTTGAACCTTTAAATAGTCTAGTTCGATTTATTTTGACGATGCTTATTTTAGTGTGTGTTCGACTAAAGCGACTAATATTCGACTAAAGCGAATCGAATGTACTAGGTATAGGATCATGGAAGTAGAACTTTCCTCTGTCACGCACTAATTCGAAATAGACCTTCCCACTACTACGAGAAGTACCTCAGTCCCTTGCTTACTGCTCAATTTAAATACCCGGTGGTTAGATACCCGGCTTAGGTTGCAATTCCATGTGACTGACACGGTACCGCTTATTCCACTAAAATATTTCGGTTTCATCCTAACGAAGCGGCAATCGTGTAGCAACGCGATGATAACAAACGTTTGCAGGCGTTCCCACAGGTAACGTCATGCAGCGAACGATTTGCCACCACAATATGCATGAGTTTCGCTTTCTTTTCTGAATTTGCTTACGACACCACACGACCTAGCACTCAGATCACCTCGTGATTAATATCATTATAATCCTAAGAATTTCTATCTTTTTTGAAGATCAAATCATTTTCAAGTAGCAGGTGGAGATTTTATAGATGCCCGCGCGGATACAATGACTGACTTAGATCAAAACGACAAAAGCCGCTATACCGAGCTGAGTGTCGTAATATGCATACTCGCTGCAACCTTTCGAATCTGTATTGTTTTTTCTCGATAGCTGCCTCACCTTTTCTGACCTGTCGCGCGCGTCAGTGCTGATGTTGCATGACTCCGATGCAGTGGGTGCTAGTGCGCGCCATGGGACAAAATGTGCGTTAGCATTCGAGGCAATACTGCTTTGAGTTCTTGATGAAAGCCGGCTGCGTAAGCACGCAACCGTCACTGGCGCCGTATGGAGTACTGCTGCCAGGATGCCTGAACAGCGTCTGATAAAGTTTTGATCGAAATCAGCTATCATATCCGCGGTGGCTTCCTCGAGAATTCAAAATTTTACTTTCCTACACGGGTATGATTTTGATTTTCAAAGAACATTATAGAGTTTCTGAGGGTTCTAAAGATAATAATCACGAGTTGATCCGGATTCCAGGTGGTGGAGTATGCCCCTCGTTAGCTACTACTGTCTCCAAAATTACCTACCGATCATCAGATTTATCTTCCCCCACGATCAGTTAGCTAACCTATAGACTTAAAATTTTACACTACATGTAGGCACTAAGTTTACGCTTTGCTTCAGGTTACAATGTTTTGTGGCGCCGGAAAAATTGTTCAAGGATTAGCAGTCACTTTAAGGTGCCGGGGTTGTGGTTCTCGTTATTCCCCTTGTACGTGGACGAATCGGGCTACGTCCACATATTCTTTTTACGATTCAGAGCAGCCGTTCCTTGATATTTCCCAGGAAATATACGTTTGCCGAAAATTTGCACTGGAAATCGTGAATAACATGTATGCTAGGGCTTCAGCGTTTGCAATGTTGCCGTTAAAATACTTCTACTGTCATTTTTTTTTACTTTTAGATTCTTCAATCATGCAACTTACGACGGTATTGCGGAAACCATGAGACATACGTACGGTTGGAAAAAATGTAAAGTCACATGGTTTTGCTAAGAATTAGTGAAAACGAGAATAAATCTGACATCTCTGAATCTTCTAGTGTTCTCACGAAAAACTGTAGCCATCATCTTCATACGGCATGAGATCGAATGTGACATTAGAGAGCGAAAGATCACGTACCAGTTCCAGGAAAAAAGAAGTGTGCTGCAATACCTGGACACGCGCATGGATGAAATTTTTACCAGCACCTACAAACACCGGTGTTCTAAAGCCTGCATAGCGAAGCAGTGCGGAAGGATCTTCATTATGGACGGAATCTGGAAAGTCGTTTTTCGACATTGTATAGCAGAAGTAGAAGTACGTAACTGCCAGAACGGCGTGCTGATGCAGAAAGTGAATAGTTTGTCTTTTCCCGTGAAAATGACTTTTAACACCCGGGTGTTACTGTGCTACGGGATTTTTTGCCCTGGGGTTACATTTTTTACGATTTACGTACCTAGTGGTTCGCAAATTAGGGGCTACGACCATCAGGAATTATAACTGGGTATTTCCCTATCTTATATCACTGTTGTACCAGTATTCTCTTGAAGTGTACGTACGTTACGTGCGTACACGATATGTCGAGACTAATTGCAGTTGTCTTCATAGCAACGCTCTAATTTACCTTTATATAACGGTAGCCGCTATTTGTGATAAGTTGCAGGTTGGCGAGTTCCAGTAAAGATACGTACTCCTACAAACGCATACAGTACTACCTTTACGTACATTAAACCCCGCATCGGTCCCTTCTTTTGGATTTTTTACAATTTGTGTAATGCAGTGGTGAGACGGAAGATCCGTCATGCTGTATTAAAGTCTTTCACGTATTTTAGTGTCCTTTTCCGTTCCTTGTCTTATAAGCATTGCTTGAATTAACCATTATACCAAATAGCATAATTGGTGTGAGAACGGGAGTCGCTTTATTGCTTTTTAGTATAGCGGTAATAATAATTAATTCGTGATTGCAAAACGATGTGATGATTTTTTCAGAATTTTGTGAAAGGGATTCCACTCGTAAACTTTCCATGTGTATGCACGCACTCGCCATCCGGAAAATCACTGTACTGCAAGAAACACACCCACCTGGACCGCCATACCGAGAAGGAAACCGATAACATTACAATACACATGGCAGGTTGGTTTTTGGTGGCACATGTAATAAGGGAAACAAACTCCTCATTAAGTCATCCGGTGTCGTTCTCCTGTTATCTTGCAACTACGAGAAACTATTTCACCTTCATGGTTTGCTACACCAAAGGGAAGCCTGCCAAACAAAACTTTATACGGGATCTTTCACTAGTGCGATGAAATTTGGCATACGGATTTTAAGCCTTGTCTACAATTCGAAGCGAATTCAGCTTTGGTGTGGTTGTTAAACTGCACAAGATAGCTGTATTCAGGGGCCACGCCTACAGACACGGTACGCGAAGCCACCTTGCGAGGTGGCAACAAGAAGCGTTTCGAACTTGGAACAAGGCCTTAGTGCATGTAATTGGTATCTTGCATAAGGTAACTGAATTCCGTTGCTCATACAGATGTACTGTTAAAGTTGTGAACGCGTTTGGTGAATTAGATCTTATTGCTGGTGTCAGAGCGCTGTGGTTTTCCAGGAGTGTCCAGAGCTATGCAGGCAAAAGCAACGAGTGACATCAACTCAATTCTGAGCGGTGAAATGGATACTGAGACACCGGACAGCGATTGTCGAAAGTTTGATCCGAATGCCGGATGCAAGAAAAACAAAGGAGAAAACCAGCGCGGGCACCTGTACAGCCGAGGATATCTTTTCCTTGTGGGTCCAACAGGCCACATTTTTAGCTTTGCCCCAATCTACAGGTAAACTTGATAATGTGTTTACAGTCACGTCAGACTGCATCGTCGCCTAAGCATTGCCAGTCGAGTTTAAAGCGTGGCGTTGTAGTAACTTGAGGTTGGAACCGACTTTAACACTACAAAATACAAGTATCTGCCTAGTGCCTTCTCCGCACATTACAACTTCTCAGTCTCTAGCTAACCTTGCAGGAGGCTGAAAAATTTGTTCCGCATCACCTTTCGCAATCAGCTTTCCCCTCAGCATTCTTCTCAGAAAATCTGACGGACAGAACCAGAGTTTCACGAACAATACCTTGGCAAAACTAATTCACGGAAAGTTTCTACGTGCAAACGCGCAAAAAATTGTCAATGTGTTTCTACTGCACCCGCCACACTTGCAAGACAGATCAGTTTGCGGGATGCGACGATCTTACGACCGATTGAAATAGATTGATTTCATCCTGTCTCCGGCATAGTGCTTGGGCAACTTGAACTAATCATATCGTTCGCGGACTCTGCAATTAATTGAAAACAGCCAGTTAAATTTGAGAGGTACAGCAGAAGTTTCTGTTTAATTCAAGCTCGGTGTCGAATTGCCCGTCGACCCCGTGGGCCCTTAAAAATAATGAAGCTTAAAAGAGGAACAACGACGCGTCATCGTCTACGAAACCAAAAATACTCCATAAATAGAGCAATCTACAATTAATGAACGGTTCGGGGGCTGCCAACTTGGTTAAGTCGACTGACTGATAAAAAGCTGCAAAACGTCTACGGCGCATCTAAATTTGCGGTACATCTCACCCATCTGCGTCACAGGGGCGGGCATCACGCCACCGGGAAATCAATCTACTGGGCTTTTGGTCTACTACGCCATTATGTTGATTTGTATAGTTCTGTTACCAAAGACAGAATTCCGTTTATGAACTAAATGGACAGACAAGCTATGCATTATTTCATGAAAGTTTTAAATCTAAGAGTCCTCAGAGTGAATTTCTCAGTAGTTTTAAATATGGAATGCTGACACTGAGCAAAAGCTTACGCCCCAACCGGATACACTCGAACCGGAAGGTAGCGCAAAAAGTACCTCGCGGCTTTGTCACCATAATGTTATGTGTTCGGACCACTGACAAAGAAATTCTTCAAAGAGCTGTCGAGAAAGATCATCGACAGTACAGGCAACCCCCGCTCAGGAGAGTTTTTACGCCAAAAAATCAGTATTGAGAATCAGCTAGGAAATGCAGTTTCTATTCTCGGTACATTCAGCGACACGGTAGAGAAGGAAGATATGTACTTTGCCTTTCATTTAGCGGATCGGAAATGATGTTATGGTTTTTGTTATCTGATATTCTTGTAATGCATTCTCCAGTACGAACCTCAAATGCAATAAAGTACTTCACATGTTATGTGACACACAGTAAAATACTTTGCAGTGACAAATGGCTATGTTCGAGGGATAAAAACTTTTTTGTCTGTATGCAATAGGATGGTGCAAAGGATCACGAACGGTTTTTTTTCAGGGCTGAAAGCCTTGGACAAGTTTACTTATTCGTCGTCAGCGCGCTTTACGATTTGCTGCAAAATGTTGCGCCGGAAGAATGGGAGAACATTTTTGTGTGCTACGATAACATCTGTCAGCTCAACAGACTTAAAGCCGCAAGCGCTCCTCTTCCTTTTCCGGAACCATTTGACCAAATCTGGAACCGTGTGTCGAAAATTGTGGACGGGCTTCATATTCAAAACCACAAGGATCCCAGATGCAAAGAGAAGTACCATCCTGATAAGTATTTGAAGAGTCATCCTACCGCCACTGAACGAAACACCATGGCAGCAGAACAGACATTTTCCTGGATCGCCAAGTTCAAGAAGCAATTAAATGCAATGAACAAGGCAAGGCAGTTTTTCTTTATCCACCGAATGATAGTGCGAAGAAACGACTACATGTCTCACTGTGTGGCGAAAAATAGCCGACCTGTAGGTGGTACGATGCGCACGTTTAAAGAAAAATGAGCGGTAATATTGGTGCGCAAGGGTTACTTAGGTTAACATCTTTTTCAAGCGGCTTCATTTAACTGGAAGAGTCTACGCCTTTCCATCTGGGTGTCCTCGACTTTAGCCAGCGATGTGTCAGCAACAGTGTGCAATTTGCCTGCTCCGTTGGCAGGCGGCAATGTAGTCTGTACAATTTATTGTCCTGTCGCGGTAGTTCGGGCATTTGCGTTAATCAAATTAAAAATATTACTGTACTTAGTTGTATATTATTTCTCGCAGTTTTCCAGTATAACTTTTCACTGCGGATCCGAATATGCTAAAGTCTAGTTTAGTGAGACAATAATCGGCCAACCAGTTGTAGCGGGAATCAAGTAGTGGTAACTTTCAAAGGGCTTATAGCTGACCTTCCAGACTGTTATCTTCTAGCAATAAATTCCACGAAAATTTTTATAAAAAACTTGAATTTCACGTGATAGGTGCTAGATGTGATGACTCCAAATGAAGGTGCACTTCCATAAACTTCTTGTATGTTAAAATATTCAGGAAGATTGTGGATAGTTATCGTGCAAAGCTAGCTAACTTGGAGATAATGTACCCCAAGGATGAGACATCCGATAAAGTACAAGTTTTGTGTTGTGCCTGATATCTAAAAAGCAGGCGGAAAGATAGAGCTGGAACAATCGAAGAAAAAAAGCAGTGTCTAATATTCACACACGCTAGCACTGGTTGCGGCCCGTTGCGGCCTGTCGCGGCAAATAAGCCGTGTCGCGGCTGTTGCGGCATCGCGGCAGGCCAGTGCTGGCACACACGCTAGCACTGGTCGCGGCCCGTTGCGGCCTGTCGCAGCTTATAAGCCGTGTCGCGGCTGTTGCGGCGTCGCGGCAGGCCAGTGCTGGCACACACGCTAGCACTGGTCGCGGCCCGTTGCGGCCTGTCGCGGCTTATAGGCCGTGTCGCGGCTGTTGCGGCGTCGCGGCAGGCCAGTGCTGGCACACACGCTAGCACTAGTCGCGGCCCGTTGCGGGCTGTCGCAGCTTATAAGCCGTGTCGCGGCTGTTGCGGCGTCGCGGCAGGCCAGTGCTGGCACACACGCTAGCACTGGTCGCGGCCCGTTGCGGCCTGTCGCGGCTTATAGGCCGTGTCGCGGCTGTTGCGGCGTCGCGGCAGGCCAGTGCTGGCACACACGCTAGCACTAGTCGCGGCCCGTTGCGGGCTGTCGCAGCTTATAAGCCGTGTCGCGGCTGTTGCGGCGTCGCGGCAGGCCAGTGCTGGCACACTCGCTAGCACTGGTCGCGGCCCGTTGCTGCCTGTCGCGGCTTATAAGCCGTCTTATAAGCCGTGTCGCGAATTCTGGTCCGCAACGAGACAGTGACAGTTAAAGCCGAACTTGGTACAGATTGAGCCACTTCTGGCTTTATCAGTTTCCTTCGTGGCGGCCAACTTCAATGTAGATACGACAAAATCGATTGACGGTCCCAGTTGCTCTGAAACCTTCTGCAATGGGATCCAGGAGCTGGTTGGTAAATCTGCGAAACTAGCGAAACCACTGAATGAACGCCGATGCCAGAAAGGCAGGAAAAACTAGCCATTTCGTGGTCCGCAGTCCCAACCCACCATCCCTAACCGGCAGTGTCATCTGGCTGCACTGAGCATCGTTCACTCCAACGTTGAAAACTATTGAAAATAAACTATTGAAAATATTTAAAAGGTCCATAAGGGAAAGACGTTCCAGAAGAAACAAGGTTTTGCGAGCTGGGTCAAAAAAATTACCTTTGGCCTTCAATAATTGGCTTCATTGCTAACAATTGCAGCCAAAATTTTTCAAAAACGCCTTACTAATTGTTTTAGCAAATATAGTAAAATATTCTCTCTATCGTACTAATCAGAACAATGCGGCAAGAAGCCCACGATAAACACCAACACAGGAAACCGCAATTTTTTTCAGGCATATTTAGCGGTTCCCGGTTTAATATATTACAACTGCCAGTTTCGAATTACCAGTGTAGTTCACAGTATATTCAAACCAAACAGTCATCTGGTTGGAACATTTAATTTAAACTGAATGAACAGACAAGGGTGCGGCCTCATGGGAACCGCATTGGGAAGGCGAAATTGTTAGCGAAGAATAACTATCCACGAACACACATCATGCACTTTTTAATACTTACGTAACTGTATTGTACACTGTATAATGTAAAGAAAACCGTCAACAACGGGGCTCTTGAATTAAAGCTACAACTGGATTGGGTGGCATTTGTTCCGAGGATACTGCGTGTTTCCAGTCCTTGATACTCTTTAGCACGATCCGTGGATTAACCATGTTTATCGCTTGACTGTCTTCGTCCAGCGCAGCATCACAGACCGGCGACACCCGATATTTTGCGGATGTTGTTGGCTTTTTTAGCTGGTGGTTTCTGCGGCTTCCCGCTTTTCTCCGCTTAACCGAGCCGTGTCAGTGTGTCACGCACGCCACATCCTCCGAAGACGAATTCTTCTCGCGTACAATGTGTCACGCATCCACTGCATCCAGAATATATATGGGCGCATCAAAAACAAAGGTCACTTTCTCTGTAATATACTAACACACGTCTTGCTCAAGCGACTCTACCCAAATGCACTGATATTGATCAGGGCCTAATTGAAGAACAATCGACCGGCAACCGCCGTGCGCCGGCTCCATTAACCTAATCCGAGCCGCGCGTCAATTGCACCGAGTAGGCCGCGGCATTCGTCTTGCCGCCGGTGGCCATGAACGTCCCGGTGGCTTCCGGCTGGATACGAGAGCGTTTCAGGACCGGGAATACTTTAACGATTAACTGCCGCAAACGGCGCCGGTAATCTTTGTTCAACACCAAACAAATAATCTGCAGAAAACTACTTCTGTAAAATGCATCCACATTTTAAAACAAATTGCAATAAATTAAACTTAAATTAAAAATACTCGTACATTACATATAAATTTAAATTTAAACATTATTCAGTCAAAAAATTAATTGCATTGAATTAGAAAATTTAATTAAAAATATAATGCGTTTAATTACTCTACCCATAATTTAAATAAATCTACAAAAAAATAGGTTAAAATTAATTTAAATTAATTGAATATTTAGAAAAAAACAAACATACCGGCACACTAGCGTAGCCTAATAACGCCACCGCCCGCAACGTCAGCTGCAGCACCGGGTCGGTTTGGAACGCCTTCCCGAACAGCGTGGAGGCCATCTGCATCGGCACCATACACGACGTATAGCAGACATAACAAACGAACAACATCCGAACACTCCGGGCGCGCCGACGCTGCAGCTGATCCCCCGGTCCGGCGGCCTTAGTGGTCGTCGTGCTGCGCCGGGCCATCCACCAGCGCACCAGCAACACCGCGAAGATCACCGTAAACACCACGGTCAACACGCCCACCGGGAAAAAGACCCCCAGGAATACGGACAGGAAGGAGGAGTACGTGTCGGTGTACTGCGCCACGCAGGCGCCCCACGGGAGGGCGCTTTTCAACTCCCCGCCCACGCGGTACAGCAGCAACACCGCCATGATGACCGGGAGCAACCAGGGTAAGAAGACCATGACGGTCAGCGGGAGGGGCCGGATCCATTGGGGATAGCTGTGCGGGAAGCAGATGGCCACGAAGCGGTTGATCCCGATCATCATGTCGGTCAGGGTCACGCTTTTGATACAGATGTAGAAGGCAAACATGGCGACGCGGCAGTAGGCGTTGGTGGATTGGTTGCCCAGCGGGATGCCGGTCGCGGAGGCCGTGACCATGGGCATCCCGACGCTGCACTGGAGGAGGATGCTGAAGAGGAAGTTGAGGAGGAGGACGCCGGAGCCGGCACGCAGGCGTTTGGAGGAGAGGATGATGGTGATGACGGCCACGCTGAAGACGGTGCCGATCAGGCTCAGGCACACCACCAGCCAGAACCACAGGAGCAGTGCTGGTCGGTGGACGATCCAGGCCGGGAGTGGCGTTAGGGTGGCGTTGTTGGTCAAGTTGGACAACATTCTATCAATCTTTTGACCTCAGCGCAGACGAGATTGACCGTATTACCAAGCGAAAAGCGTGGGAAGAATTTCGCGTAGTCTTAAAAAAAAGGAAGTTATGCAGATGATATATGGATACTGCTCGGGTCAGACAACAGGGTATCAATCTTTTGACCTCAGCACAGACAAGATTCCCCGCTGAACTCAGGGAAATAACGTGGGAAGAATTTCCCGTTGTGTGGACAAACCGGGAGTTATATAGACGCGCGGTTCGAGCGGGTCATGCGCAGGTGTGTTGTTGGTCGATGCGCACCGCAGCTAATCCGGCACGCTTCTCGGAATCATTCAGCCAGAATCAGGCTTGACGTTCCTTCCGCAACAGTGGCATTGTTATCGACAGTACGCCGGAAAAAAGCCGCGTTGATCATCCGACGCTATTTCCGTCGGCTTGGCGTGAGTAATGCTCGACGCATTCAATTATCCAAAACAAACTAGCAACGATATTCGATTAAATCGATGCTGCTTTTTAGGGAATTGTAGAAATTACCTAACGCACAAATATGCAAGACAGCGGCAACGTTGATTTATATAGCCGCTGGACGGAGTTACTGGAACTGTGCTTTCCAGGAGCTAAATTCCCGACTGGAGTCAATTTCCGGATGCGGGCGATTTCTTCCCAGTTAACGCTTTTTATAATGCAAGGATTGTTTCTAATCTGGTGCAGGTTAAAAGCTTCCGCCACCGGGAAGCCTGTTTAATGATGCGGCACATAATTCGATCAGCTCCTGGTTAAAACAAGTCGCCTGACAAAATTAATTCCTTGCGTGCCTGCACAATCTGACTGACGGTTAATGCCGGTCAAATTTACAGTTCAACGGCAATGGACGCGCTGACTCGGCATTTACTAAATAAATGCCCGGCTAAACAAGCGCCGGATATTTAATTCGACCTGGCGTTTACGCCATTCTATGCCCGTTTTTCAGGTGGTTTTTAACAAAGTCCAGATTGCTCTCCAGGCCAGCAGCACTCAAGTGTCACTTTGATACCAGCACAACGGTGGATCACGGGTTATTGTTGTGTATCTTTTTGTGCTGTATCTGTTGTATAAATTCAATTAAGTAATGCGCGAGTACCACTACCGGTGTGCGCTTGATTGTGACTGCTCAACAATTGACGGTGCATGCCGGCATCCGGCATTAACTAATCGAAATGAATCTCTCATGTCCGCGATTTTCCCCCATGGAATTTTACCCTTCTCTCATGTCCATAAAATGCAGAACCATTACGGTCGTTTTACAGAAATATAAAGCAAAATATAGCTGTACAAGCTTGTCCCGTAATTTCTATCGTATAGGTACAGAGAGCACGTATTTAGCGCGTAGCATGCGCTATGAACGACTGCCACTGCACTATGTCTACCACAATGACAAATTTGTTCCTATTAAAATTTAGGATACTGTGGAAATGAAGAGAGGGGTCAATATTTTATGATTTACATCGATAGTTTTTTTATATTAGATTGATATGCATGCATCAAATATGCTCAATGTATGTACACGTAAAGAGTGTGGGTGTAGCGGGCCGTAGTATGGAGTTTGGCGTACCCTTTGTATTTGTAGTGATCGCTGCGTTAATGCGGTTGAAATTACCGGGCAATCTCAAATACAATACTGTTAGAAGGATAATTATCAGTGTGATGTGCACACTCAGCGTGATATCGGTACTGAGGAGTCGCGTAACACCAAAACACTCGTATAGTTATCCACGCCCTCCCGGAAAAAGTGAGATCGTAGCGTGTTGCGTTGATATGACTCCACATATCAACGGAGCACGTTAGTATGTCCGCTCTCGCATTGGCTCGTCGAGCATCTATCCGCTCTGTGAGTGGCCAGGTTTCACCCAACCGTATTTGCGCAAAACCACTAGGCGTGATCATAACAAAGACGCTAATTGGCTCAATACTATCCAATGGGGAAATTAATAGCCAAATGGCACGGCATTTTAAAAGCACCAAATGCCAAACATTTCTTTCAAAATTGTTTATTAATAAAAACAATTAAATTTTGTTGGAGTTTTTGTTGCGACCCAGTTTTCTTTTTTAACTTAATTGTCCAGTTCGTGTTGGTGGTTTATGTGGACTGTTTTTTTCATTTTTTAATCCGTAATGCAGATCGAAAAAGCCTGTGCGGAGCTCCGCTGACAGAATAGCACCTAAAACCAGCATCGACACTTGAACAATCCACAGTGTGGTTGACTCTAAAACAAAGAAGTCAAAATTACAGCGAAAAATGCAGTAAACTTACCTTTGAGGCGCTGTTTGAAGAAATCAGCTACAAGGAGCTCCTTTATGTTGAGTTCTTGTAGTCCCAGTTACCTGTCCATGCAGACATTTAGAAGACGCTATCGCACAGTTCTTACTACAGTGTACGTAAAGCTTGAAATTTACCTTTCATAATAATGAAATCATCATGAATAAAAGGAGCTCCTACGTTGAATCCCAAGCGTTGAATCCCACAAGGTCCTTCACTTGTGCAGTGTTTGCAGAGAGATTACTGTAGTAAGTTTTATCGCTCCTACTCGGAACATCAGCTGTACTGGTGCAGACGTTGGAACTTCGACGTGTCTTTACGTGTTAGACTGCGTGTGAGCTCAGCGCTGCGCTACACGTCACTTAGTGTGTGAGTGCAGTGGCCCGAACTTGTACGAGCAGGCGCTGTACGAATTATTCCCCTAGTGCGACCCTAACGAGCTGTGCATAACGATGTTCTTGGGACTCACTAGCGGAACTTCTTCGTTTTAACGGAAGATTTTATTTCCGGGAGGGACGTTCCATAAATACGGTACATACAGTACAGACTTATTCACGATGCCATATGGTGATTGTCTTTGCTTTCTAAACAAACAATCTTGTCGTCGTCTTTGCCCAGAGATAAGACGCCCTTATCTGCTGCTATCGGCAGTCTCCATAAACCATGACCATGAGCTTTCAGAGAAAGCCCTTACGCAACGCTGCCTTATATTCTCTTTGCACTCACAACCGGCATTTTGCTCGATTAAATAGCAACCTTATCAAATCGCTCCGTCTAATTGAGTGTAACCGGCAGCGAGAACACCGCAATTTCTTCTGCCAACGCGTGCCTTTTTGCCATCCTGCATCCTTCCCGCACAAATTGCCTTCATTCCTCCGCAACCGTGTCTAACGGATCATTAACTATTTACGAGAATGTCGCAACCACGCAAGCACGTCGCGCTACTACCGTACCCGCTGTTCGGGCACATCACGCCGTTATTACAGCTAGCGCGGAAGATCAGCGCGCACCACGACGTCACCTTCATGACCTCGGCGCTGCGCGTCCAGCAGCTGCGGCACCGCGGCATCTTCACCGCCGCCGACGAACAACACATCCGGTTGGTCTCGCTGCAGGACGGCGTCCAGGAGAGCGACGACAGCGAGGGCACCCTCGGCCAGATGATGGAGCTGGGCGAGAAGACCATGACCTTTACCACCTCACTCTTCGCCACTATGCCGGCGGCCGTCGACCCCCATCCGGACGTCGACTACCGGCATTTAGTGGACCAACCGCTCCATCGTCCCGTCGACGTCATCATCGGCGACCTGGTGGCTTTCTTCCAGGTGGAGCTGCTGACCGCCCGCGGGATCCGATGTTTCTGCTTCCTCTCGTGTTCCGGCCTGATGCTAGCGAATAAACTGGACATCGGGTCGGACACCCCGGTGATCCCGGACGCGGCCTTCTTTTCTGATTGGGAGGCGCACGAGGACCTCAATGTGACCGGCATCCCGAAGGCGTACAAGGATATGGCGGATAAGTACGGGGGCAACTTTCTGAAGGGGTTCCACCATGTCGCCGGATATATTGTCAATTCGGTGGAGGGGTTGGAGGAGAAGGTCGCAAAGAGATTTGCGGAGCATTCGTTGACGGCCAATCGGCCGGTGCGTTTCGTGGCGCCGCTGTTTGCCGAAGCGGAGGGCGGGGCGAAGAATGCAGCGGAGACGGCGGCGAATAGTCTGGTGGATCAGTGGCTGGATAAGCAAAAGGAACGGGATGTTGTCTATGTCAGTTTCGGCTCGTATGCCGTCTCGCAAAAGGACCAAACACTTGGTACGGATCTATATTTTTTTCATTATTTCCCTTATTAATTTCTGTTTTTTTATTATTTTCTTTACTAGTTTCACGTTTTTTTTTATTATTTCCCTTGATATTTTTTATTATTTCCCTTATAATACTACTTGTTTATTTGATTTTTTATTTTAATTGTTTATTTTATTTATTTTTTCTTATTTCCCTTTTTATTGCCTTTTAATGGGACGTATTTAAAAGCATTTACTCATCGTATTATTTTCCGTTTATTTTGATTTTGTTGTTTGAGTACTTGTTTATGCGTTTGTTCACAGCATTATAAAAATTTAGTTAGTTTTTGTTTTTGTATGATTATTATTTATTAACGTCCATTAATATTTTCCGATTTATTATTTATTTTTTTAAAAGTCGATTAATGTTTTCCGTTATATAAAAAAATTGTTTTATTTTTCATTTGTTGTAGTTTATTTTCTTGGTATTATTCATTTCTCCGTTGCAGAAATTGCTAAAGCGTTAATGTCCTTGGATAAACCGTTCATCTGGTCGCTAAAAGCCAACCAACAAAAACTACTTTCGGACGACATGAAAGCCTTAATCGAGCAGCAGTCGGCGTCCAGTAAATATCTGGTGTTGGCGTGGACGCCGCAGCGGCGCATCCTCAACCACCCGGCGACGCGGCTCTTCGTCAGTCACGTGGGATACAACAGTCTCCTGGAGGCCTTCGACGCCGGCGTGCCGCTGGTGAGCTGGCCCATGTTCGGCGACCAGTTCGCCAACGCCAACATGGCGCAGCGCCTGGGCAACGGGCTCAGTCTGCCCGCGACGGGGATGTTGTTCGCCCGCGTCGTCCCGGCGGCGGAAGTGGTCGAGGCGGTCCAGAAGGTCGGGCAGTGGGATAAGCCGTACGCGGAGGGCGACTACACGCAGAAGGCGCTGGAGATCAGCCGGGTGGTCAAGGCGGCCGCCCGGCCAGGAGGCAGCTCGTATGAGGCCTTTTCCCAGCTTGTTTCTTGTGACATTTAAATAATAATCGGCTACAGTTAGTACTACCTATATACAGTAAATACAAGTAGAATTAATTTCCCTTTTAATACTCGGGGCGGTGGGTTGTTTTATGACTACTTCGAATTAAAATTGTGAAAATATTTCGCGGGATAAACCTTGGCCAGCACCGTTTCTGTTCGCATGTGCTAACACAAGCATAATTACAACTTCCAGGTGAACCATATGGGGTTCAATCGGTCGTATCCTGTACAATTCAGATAGGCGCAGATGCTATTGACACCACTGCAGAATTAGTAGCTATTGCACGCATTTCCGTAAGAAACCACCTTTGGGCGGTAACCAATAGGCTCAACAGTGCCTTAAGGCAACCGCCCATCGCGCTGCTAGCACGTGCGTGATAATTCTGTGTAGCGCACCGCTGTCATGTGCAGAAAAAAATGCGATTATTAACAGTCAACGGCTACTGCAGCGGCTGCGCGAAATAAACGTATGCTTTTTGGGCCAACCACTCGGAGCGGCGGAGATCGGGCCGGAACCAGCACTCGACACGTGCCAACAGTGGACAGGCCTCCGCGCGCATAGCGATGGTCAGCGTGCTGGCGCAGAAGGGATCGGCTGCTCCTTGTGCCGACACGTTGAAGGTGACGGAGCCGTTGAGCAGACCGGGGATGTCCTCGCCCAGCAGAGAAGGATAGGGCGCCGCCACGAAGTAGTCGTCGAATTTCCAGATGAAGTGCAACATGGCCTGCGTCCGGCTGCAGTCGACGTTCCCGCTGCAGGTCATGGAGAAGCTGCACAGCGCCGTGGACACGTCGCGCATCGGCGGGACGAAGACGTTACGGGCCGGAAGCTGCGGCTGCAGGTAGAACCCGCGGAGGCGGCACAGGGAGCCGTTGCAGGGATCAAGGCACTCCACCGTTCCGCCGGAGTCGCGGCCGACGTTGTGGATGAACAGGTAGCTGGTGGCGCGGATGGTCATCTGCTGGTTAAAGTGACCTTTGGGGGAGTCCGGCACGTCTTCGTCGTGGATGGTGGCGTTGTGGTGGCGCCACACGATCCGCTGCGCCGACGCTCCTGTTTCAGCGTCGCACTCGAACGTCGCCGCGTCTCCCACCGGAACACGGACTGTACCGGGCGGGGACGGTTCTGGCTGGGCCAAGGCGGGGTCCTCCAGGGCGGACAGGTTGATGACGCCGTCAGACTTGATGGTTTCGGCCAGGGTCAGCTCCAATGCGGCACGCCAGGGCTGTACTGCAATGCAGCGGAGGTCAGTGGAGCAACTTATACACTAATGTCATCGCCGGGCCAAATGTTCAATGCCCGAACGTACCAGAGTTCGAACCACTCAAAGGACAGCCGTTGACGGCACATCCCGGCATACTAACCATCATTCCTAGTTAGAGAACACTGTAGCCCATACTGTTGTAGAATTCAATACAATAACAACATCGAACGATGATTCGCTGCTCTGCCAACGTTCTCAGTTCCAAATATGTTGCTTTCTATGTTGCTTTCACTTAGTATAGTATCCATTGCTGTAAAGCCCTTGTTTTACGTTGTTCATACGGCACCACCAGTGCTGCGCCCCTGCTGAAAAAAATCCCGGGAAATAAAGTTGTTTTGTCTGCAGAGTACAACATACAATTGCCTTGTGTCAATGTGTATCTGTACAGTCGGTATTTTCAGTTGAAGTGGACTCTGCACAGCAATCTTGTTATGAGATCTACAATTTCTTCTATCTCGATATGTATCGGCAACATGAGCTGCTCACGATCAATATCGAAGTGCAGATAGCGCCAGTATAAGGTACAAGTTAAGCTGTAAGTCAAAACGGGAAGGCAGTCCCATGTTGCCGACACAGGCCAGCAACTGCTGCTTCCAAATCACGCTGCTGTTGCACCTGCACGACAACACAGTTGCAGTTCTTTTAAAAAACCTACCTTGTACGTATGTGTGTTAATAGCGTTATTCAGCAGCTCTGATGCAGGTGGCAGGTGCCATGGCGTCGTTACGGCCAAAGCAGCATCTTATCGCAATGTTGCTGCCAGTTATTATGTTTACGGTAGTCGGCATTGTCGGTGCCCTTCCTTATCCTGGGTGCGGGTATGATTATCAGTTGCGCAGTTTGGGGTGTACGAAGAATAATTTAACACTATCCAGAGCATCTCCTGTTGACTCCACTCCGCTTGACGTCCAGTTTATTTACCTCGGTTGTCCGGCTGTAAATAATTTTCCCCAACGTCGACCGTTCGATTACTGCAACGTAGTACACGATGATATATCATCGCTGCCATTCCGAAAATCTATATTGACCCTAACACTGCAAGGATTCACTGCAGCAAACGGCGGAAGGTTTCTCCTTGATAAACTCCTGCATCATAATAAAAATAATACTCAAAGACTGAACATTCATTACTGCAGAATCGGCTATATTGATCGCGGATATTTTGCCGGCTTCCAGAAATTGTCGCGACTCCAGCTGGAACACAATGACATTAGCAGTATCAGCGTGGACGCTTTCGACAGCTTGTCCGGGATATCAGCGAAACCGTCGCTGACGAATTTGTATTTGGACGACAACGCATTGGAAACACTGGACTGGAGTACTCTGTATCCATTGAGAGACACGTTGGTAGGAAGGAAGTTGTAGTACGAGTACAAGAAACACATAGAAGTACATAATTATGATCATTCTGAATTTGCTATACAGGCTAAACTACATCTTGACGACCAAAAGCCAAAGCTGCATTCCCTAACACTCAGTGGTGGCGCGTTTCTCACCTCAATCGTGCGCTTACATCTTGCAGTAAATTCACTGAGGTACATTCCCAACGAAATATTGGACAGCATCGGTTGGAACTCCTCGGTTCCAACTACCTTAAGCCTCGGTGGCAATGCTTTCTGCGAAGGATACACCAATTGTGACTGCTGCGAAATGGGCTACTTTATGTCCTGGACTAAAAAATTCATTGCGGTAAAAGGAAGACCCTGGAACGGGCATAACTATGTCACACTTTCTTGTGGATCGCAGTCAGGTCTGACATTCGGGAGTAACCACCCAGGATCTGCACAGAGGCTTGCAGAGCTAGAGAAGTCTAACCATTGTAAGCATTATTAGCCCTGACACTAATTAAAAAAGTTTAAAATCTTACAGATTCAAAGATCGTCTTTAAGTCTTAGACAGCTACAGATATAACTGTTTCAAGAACCGGGATGTTGGCAGTTCCTTCATTTAAGGCGGTGCAAGGAAGTAGAGACCACATTCGTGCATATCTAAGGGAACTTTCACTATTGCGCATTCCCAGAGAAAGTTTTCAATTGCTTATGTTATTTTGTAGCCGAAGGGTTTGTATACACAGACGTAAAATCCGTTTGCGCACGCTTTAAAAAGTTTAGATGCATTCAGGTGTACCAAAGGTCTCATGATAAACCGATATTCTTCGAATAGAAGTACAGCATTTAGGTTTTTACGTCGCAAGTTGTGATTTGTAAATTGTAGGTAATGCCACGTCGACAACCGTAACTAGCACTGCTATCCCGACCACGACAGCCAACGTAACGACCAACACTAGGAAACCAGACGTAAATAATTCGAGTTCGCTGTGTCCTGAAACAAAACCCATTGAAATTAATTGTACTTTCGGTCGTTTGTCCCTGTCCCAGCCTGATCTGCAGCGGGCTGAGGGCACGCTTCTGGTCTTCCGCACCGATCGCTCGTTCGCCTGCCAGATGAAACTATACAATCTCCATACAATGTCAATGGACCTCTTCAACTTCTCCGAGCAGACCGACCACCAGCCAGGTCAACAGGAAGTTATACGCGTCGAATGCGCCAACGGAGTGTCCACTCTCAGCTCGACCGACCCGGAGAATTCGCATGCGCACCAGTTGAACTTTCGCTCCGATCTGACCAGCCAGTGCTTCGCCAAATTCACGGAATTTCTCCAATACATTGACACTAACCTTGTCACCGAACACGTGACGGTGACCAGCGAGGAGAGCCGCCTCGCGGACGAAATGTGGAGAACCTGTGGCGACATCACAAACGCTACCTGCACCGATGGAACCTTCGTCTTTTCGCACACTAAGGATGCCGCATTGAAAGCGGAGGGCGTGGTTATCAGGGTGGACCAGTCGTTCGACTGTCGGAGCACCTTGGTGGCCATTCACGAGCACCTTTTGGCACAGGAAAGCACAACCGTGCAAGCTCCCGCAACGCCGCTATCCAGTTCGGTCGCGGCGGTGTGCAGTCAAGATCGCTTGTTCGTCTCCGAAGGTCATCCACGACGATCGAAGAAAACGACGATAGAGTACTCGGCACGGCCCAGCAAGTTCTGCCGCGGTGCTTTCCATAAGTTTGTGGAGTATTTGTTTGGGCTGTAGCGACATCGGCATTGCGTTGGGTTTGTCCAAAAAGCTTTAGCTTCTTTGGTTTGTCTAGCTTTGTGTTGCGCCGGGATCATTAGCAAGCTGATCACTGGCAAGCTGCCAACTTAAAGCGCGATTATGATAATTCAGTGAAAAGCACTTACTGGGCGGTAGAAAAGCGTCCCAGAAAACCACAGAGCGGTATATAAAAAAATTCAATAAAAGCATTTCGTTTTACTGAGCTGCTAATATGCCAGCTCCCAGAAAGTGTTACAGACATGTCCATCAAACGTTTTTCTGGCGCGTATACAATACGTAGTAATTTTTTAAATATTGGAAATTCAAGAAAGTATAGCAAACTAAATGTTACAAAGGATGAAAGTACAACGACGAATTGACGAAAGAAACAATGTCCACGATAGATAAAGGCCAGACTCGTACTCAACGCGTTTGTTTACTGATCGGTAGTAGATTGAGTTTTCCATTAATTGCAATACTCGTAAAACTCCAGTGATCAGAATACGCTATTGTTATTGTTATTATTCAACTTTACGGCTAGTACAGCGCTATGGAAATGCTGTATGTCGTCTGTGTGTAATTGCACTGACAGTTTTACAATAAGTAATATTATTATGTAACTACTGAAGACCAGTTAGTTGTAAGTACTGTGTGATTGTTGCTTACAGTACGTACTTCCGATAAATCGAAACATCAACCCATACATTATTACTACTATAAAAATACAAGTACTAGTATTGTAGCTTTTTTTTCCTTTATTAGCTCAAGCCAGTCATGTCACAAGTTTGTAATAAAAACAGGATTAATTGTAGCTTAGTATTAAATAGTCGTATAAGCCGATATTCACTCGTGCTCAGCTTGTACGTACTACGAGTACGTATAACAGACCTTCATTAATGCTATGACTTTACTCACGACATCCGCTATTATTTATAATATATTAGTCACAAAGTGTGATTGCGCATTGTAAGGAACAGCTTCGGCGTCGTCTCTGGGTTTCTTGACAGCGGCTTGAACAGCTTGACCTCAGCGTCAACGACTTCAGCAAGTGCTAGCTTTTAACTTAGGAAATCAATACATAAATTAATAATTTTCTCGTATTCTCATCGGTGGGCTGGCAATATAATTTATTCTAATACGGTCATGCAACATGTATTCATGCTTAAATACCCGTATACGGGTATTTGCTGTACGTACAGCAAAGTTTTTAACTGTAAAGCTGTAGTTGTAACGGAGTGCTACCGTCTCAGTCTACGTCTCATGCAACGGCTACGTGAAATGAACGTATGCTTTTTGGGTAAACCAGTCGCGACGGCGGACATCGGTGCGGAACCAGCAGTCCACCTGCGCCGACCGGGGCTCGGCCTCCTCTCTCATGCTGATGGCCAGTGTACTGGAGCAGACGGGATCGATAGCTCCGGGCGCCGACACGTTGAAGGTGACGGAGGCGTTGAGCAAACCCGGGACTTGAAAGCCGAGCAGATCGGGATAAGGCGCCGCTACAAAGTAGTCCTCGTACTTCCAGATAAAGTGCGCCACGGGCGGAGTCTGGCTGCAGTCGACGCTCCCGCTGCACGCCATAGAGAAGCTCCACCGCGACGTAGACACGTCACGCATGGGCGGCACGAAGACGTCACGGGCCCGCAGCTCCGGCTGCAGGTAGAATTCGCGGAGGCGGCACAGGGAGCCGTTGCAGGGATCGAAACACTCCACCGTTCCACCGGAGTCACGACCGACGTTGTGGATGAACAGGTTGCTGGTGGCGCGGATGGGCATCTGCCGGTAAAAGTGACCTTTGGGGGAATCCGGCACGTCGTCGCCGTGGATGGTGGCGTTGTGGTGGCGCCAGACGATGCGCTGCGCCGATGCTGGCGTGTCAGCATCGCACTGGAACGTCGCCCTCTCTCCCACCGGGACCCTAACTGTCCCGGGCGGGGGCTGTACCGGCTGGACCTGGGCGGGGTCCTCGAGGGCGGACAGATTGAGGACGTTGTCAAACATCATAATTTCGGCCATGCTCGCCTCCAATTCGGCACGCAAACGCTGTACTGCAATGCAGAGGATTTCAGTAGAAGAGCATACGCGCTAATGCTATCCCCGGGCGAAAGATCAACGCACCAGGGTTTCGACCGCCGAAAGGACAGCCGTTGAAGACGCATCCTGGCCGACTGGCCAACATTCCCAGCAAGAGAAGAATGTAGCTCATATTGTTCGTTCGGAAGCGCTGCCCGATTATCTGCTTGCACTGCGATGCAGCTACCGAGTCCACCGTATGTGGCGTATTCGCTGTACACTTACAGACACCTCAGCGGCATGCATGCGGCGGTTTTCGAATTATTCCGTTGCCATGCAATCGAAGCCACTTTGGCAACCGTCTTGACCCGGTTCAACTCTGCTGTTGACTGTTCGCCAGCGGTAGTCTTTTTAATAACACAGTAGAAAACTGGCACGTGAAGAGTCTTTGACACGAATTCCTTGGGTAATTTAATTTAATCGTTTCTGCTGGTATGCATTGGCTTTCCACAAGACTTTGATGTATACTTGATGGCGATATTTTTTATGTAAACATGGGAATCGCTTACGATGTGCTACGAGTAGTGCTACGTTGGAAGACAGTGCTACCCGGTGTATACGCCTATACATCTTAGTTCGCAATAGACGTATAGGCGCATTTTTTGAGCGGGAAAAACGTTACAGAGAGTTAAAAGTAAAACGCCCACATGTGCAGACAGTACGTGGAATCGAGCAAGGAATCCAGCACGCATATAACATATCACAAAGGGTACAAATATAGTGAAGATTTGATGAAAGAAGGCCGAGATGCATTGCGGCAACCCACATACGACAATGGTGCTTCCTTAACGTCGCCGTGAGAGTTGACCAGATCGCGTAGGTCAGACACGTGAAAAACGTAGGTCAGACAGATCCTCAATCTCTGCAGCAAACGTCATCGCGGTAATTTAGATTACTGCTATGATTTTCCAGTCGGCCGAATTGTTAGCTATACCGGCAGCTTACCGATAACGCCAGATTCCGATCGACACAGCAGAACTTGCCGGCCGTAATGGCCAAAGGTTGCTGGCGCAGCAGCAGCGCCCCCTCGTCCAATTGGTTTCTTGTAGTGGAACTGAAAAGGTCACGGGCATATAGCCGCTTTTCCACCACACGCAGAAGCTGCTTAGCCTAATCGTATAACCCACACATTATGCACACAGTATTGTGAGCAGCATTAGTTTAAACTGGTTGTACATGGTTCTTACCGCAGATGCAAAGCGGATGCAGATGAAAATGGAAAGAAGGATAAGAATGAAGGCGCGCCACAGGATGAGCAGGACGAGGCACCCCAGGAATCCCAGCACTAAGGTTACTGCTTTCTGACGCGCTGCTAACCGGCGCATCCGTATTAAGAAGGGCTCGGCGCTCGTTAGGCTGGCGATGATCCGCTGGAACTGTTGTACGTCAGAGAAAAAGTTGTGCAGTGCAGTATATGTAATACAAGCCCTCTTTAACACTCTAACATAAAAATATCAGCAGTGTACGCTCTGCTACATTTCTAAAAATTTATTCGGTTAGGTGTATTGTACACACATGCCTGATGTCGGTAAAAGTGGAGAAGGATGAGCGCGCACAGGCACATGGCCGGACAATGCGGTGGCCTGGATGGAGACCACAAGCTGGCGCAGGATAGCCGCGCCGTTAAACAGCAGGTACACCACTTTGACCACAAACACCGCCCATCGCCGGACATTTTCCGCACGAGAGGCAAAAGGTTCTGCGGGGAAGCGAAGTGCCAACCAGCGCAACAATGTCCACGATAAACAAAGGTCAGGCTCATATTCAACGCGTTAGTGTGGTGATTGCATTTCCTCCTTGCCAAAATTGAGCAACGTTTGCTGGACACTACAGACTATTTAGTATAACACCGATTGTCCGTTTGACACCGAGCGCGAGCGAATTCGGCTGGTCTTCGTTTTCAGTGTGGAAAATGCGTTAAGTGTGGATCTAAATGCCCTGCTATCCAGTGATACTGCCGTCTGCTAGCGAAGCTTTTTCGGCAAAACCACCACTATTACTCGTAATAGAGATTTATGTATACACCACGTATTTTAAAACTATATACTGTTTCACAGGCGGACATGCTACAAGGCATAAAATAAACAAAAATAGTCATATTTGATCTGCACCACGCAAAAACATTTGCAAAATTATTGGTACAGCAGCGGTGTTATAAAGAAAGAAATTTTAACGATTAAAGATACACAGATCGAAAGTCGCTTCGAAAAAGGTCCCACACAGCATCGAGTTCAGGGTTCTGACCCAATGGGTTGAGCGCAATCAGTTGCACTGCTTATTCGCCTCTTTAGCAAACCTCGAGACAGTGTCTTTGCTAACGTGAAACATTTCAGCGACTTCCGCTCTGCTTTTCCCTTCCGTACATTGCTGAACGATTTTCGCTTTCATTGTAGCATCATGGTTTTTCGGGTCCTGTAAAGTGCAAACAAAACAAGCTTCACAGTTGACAGCAGGCTACGATAGTGAAAATCATGGTCCTCACGGTGTTTTTGCCGGTATCTTTATGTTTGGTCGATTCCACCAGTGCAATCTAAACAGTCAAAAGTGTTAAAATAATTATTATAAAGTCAGACAATTCAAATTTCATCACCGTACAAGCACAGTTCAGCAGCTCTCTAAGAGCTTACCATGGGCAAAACGACAATCAGGATGGCAAATGTCAAGTTTAACAAGTTCATCTCGACGAAAGCTGTACTCAGTTGACGGGACCTTCAGAATTCTGCACAAAAATGATTTTAAAACTTAAGACAGCAGTGTTTGACTGCTCAGTGCTCTAATCGAATGGTTTTCTTATAAATTTTTTTGTCGACTTCCTAGTACATCCAATTATTTGTGATACTGCAGCATTGTTCCGTACTGTATAGCTTTCATCACACGTGCTTGTTACAGTACATGTGTTGTTTTCCAACCAAAACGGTAGCCAGCGGCATTATTTCTGCTCGCTGGGGATAGTGCAGTAAACAAGTTACACATGCACATTATGGCATGTTTGTAAGTTGTAAGTTGTGACAATTAATAATGCTGTTTATCAAATAAAATATTTGGAAGAAGTTAGGAACAAGTTACTTACTCCAACGATGCGCACAAAAAATCTTCAAGGTAAAACATATCTATACAAGTTTCCGCAACAGATACTAGAAACCAACACTATTCCGTACTCATAATTATCAAAACAAAACCATGTTGTTAAATGTATTGCTTGTACATGAGCCGAGCAGAAAACCCCAAAAGCCCAAAAGGAAAACAAGAGAGAAAAAATAAGAAAGACAAACAACAACGGAAGCTAAGAGGAGCTGCGCCGGTGGCCCGGAAACTGGGACAACGGTAACTGTTTGGAATTCTCCATTCGGCAACGTCCACAGTGGCATCCTCGCAGAAGGCTGTCCGCCGTAGAACTTTCTGGCTGGTACGCAGGCGGAGGATGGTAATATGGTGACTGGTGTAGCAGTAAACCCGATAAATTTAAAACATGAACGATAATATTGCCATTACGGCTATAAGTGACGAAGGCGCGTGCCCTTTGTCCAGCGTGGTAATAATATCCTAATGCGCTCCGTCAACATGGTGCGGTGCGTTTAAAAACAGCATCTGTCGAAATGACACATTTAGCGGCAAACGTAATTTCGGCAATTTGAAAATTCGCCAAAACCATAAAAAATCTACCAAAGGGAACTGAATTTCACCCTTGTCAACATTTTGATTTTTGACTGGATTAAAATCTTAAATTAAAATCAGGTTAAAATCCCGTCAGCAAAGACTGTTTGTGTTTTGAACTAACTTGGTTGGACTACATATAGATGGACATTGTGATGGGCAATGTCCAAGAGTAAGTGCGGGCGCAGTCTTTAAATTTGGCTGCGTGAAGGCCATTACAAAGACATTAAACAGAATAAGCACATTCGATGAAACGGTATGGGTTTCCCTTTTGCGTTCACGCAGCGCGTGTAAAATGCGAAATTCATGGCTGATGTCTTTAGAAATTGGGACGAAGCCCCTATCTGGTGAATTAAGACCTTTGAAAAAAAAACATTGGAACGACGCTACTTTATTTCGCGTGTTAAATTTGTGTACTAAGTATGTAATACAAAGTAAGTGTGAAATCTACCACAAACGCAACGAAATGTACATGCTCCTGTCAAATAAGGAGTAATTCAGTCAAAATGTCACAGATAAAACTATTTGGGAAACAGTTTCCCCTAATTCGGTTAAGAGCGATGCGTCTTTTTCCAGGAACATGATAGTTATTCAAGGAAACTCCAGTAATACAGGAAGTCACTTAAAGCAGAAGGCGAAGAAGCGATTTTTTAAAGAAATAGTTTCTAGATTTGCCAGCGCCTAATTAGTGGGACTGACTGCCGTTGATATCCACTCTGACGACATAAGAAACATTAAAGCTTGGATCTATATCAATATCATCCATGTCTGGCAGCGAAAAGGTGGACCACTGACACGTCTTCGCATCGTACACCTCCATTATTTGCGCAAGGCCTTCCTTACCATCCACGTGTCCGCCGAAAACGTACACTTGTTTTTGATAAACGAACGCGCAGTGGTTGGCTCTGGCGTGCAAAAGGTCACCCACCTGTACCCATTGGCTGGTTTTACGGTCCAGTCGGACGCATGATTTTAGCAAGTCGTGTGAAGAAACGGGGTTAGTTTGACCGCCTAGCAAATACAGCTCTTTATTGAGAACAACGGCGGCGAAGCCGACACGGTCATCCGGCAGGGGTGCAACTGAACCGGGTGGTCCCCACTGCTTTGTTGTCGTATTGAAGCGTTCCACCAATCGAACCCTCTCGTCGGTAGATGTCCCAAATACAAACAGTTTGCACTTGCTGCCAACTATCCGGTCAACCCTTCTGATCCTGAATAAGAACAGAACAGGTTAGCCTGTATATTCAATAGTAGTGAGTAAAAGGGTCAAAAGAACATAGTCTGATGGTGCACGTCGGTCGAGTCATTTCCACAAACAGAATACAGTGAACATTCTTACCAATGAGGCATGGGAAGCGGAGATACCGAGAAATTTCTGCCGTCCAGCTTTTTGAACGGTGCTTGAACATCCTCTTCATTCCAAAAGTAGATCTGATCGTTAACGTTAACCGCAAATTTTCCAGAAATCCCTAATCCTGCCCTGTCGGTTGTCGTTGTGCGCCAGCTCTCTTGGACAATGTCCAGTTCGATTGTATGCTTTTCACTGTTCGTTTTATCTTGTGCTCGGCAGACAATAGCATTGCCCAATGTGAATATACCGTGACGAAAATGCATGTTCTTCAAACTCTCGTGAAACAACAACGGCCGAAGTGTGCCGGTTAGCGGTTCAAACGAATTCATAAACATTGGTGAGTACTGAATTGCCCGTTGACCGTGAAAAAAGACAAACAGCTCCTTCGGCACCTTCTTATCAGCTTCCTTCAACAGTTTCAGGAGCTGTTCGGCCGACGGTCGTTCTTCGCTTGCTGAACGTAAACACTGGCGAATGCAGCTGGAAAAATAGTCTGGAATGAAATCCGGCACGAACGGGACGAAACCATTCACCAGCTTCTCTTCGAAAACATGGTCCGCAATGCCCTTCCCGGCCATAATTTTTTCCGATTGCTCACACTCCTTTTTCTCCAACCATTTCTCGTCGTTTTTCGCGATGCAGTCTGCCAAATCCAGCATTATGCAACCCAGACTCCAGATATCCATTTTGCGTCCTGTGTTTATGTTTCTTTCTTCAACGATTTCTTGTGATGTTGTTCTGAATCTTTTGAACATTTCTGGAGGTAAATAACGGATTGTTCCATGAAAATGCGGAACGTCGTTTAAGCGGGTTACCCGTTCCAGTCATCTGCCAATGCTCGTCCAAATCGCCAATCAGGAGCCGCTTGTGACGGCTTGATGTTTCCTTGACAAGAATGTTTTTTGGTTTCAGATCGCCATGAATGATTTTATTTTGGTGCAGAAAATTTATGCCGTTTGTGATATCCAGTGCGTAACGAATAGCCGTGGTGAACTGAAGGGACTCTTCCGGAGGCACAATGCCGGTTCTCAGTCGATTGAGCAACTTCTCAAGATCACCTAGAAAATATTGCGATGATCAGAAAGAAAAAGTGCAAGGCAGATTAGTCAGCTAAATCGTAACTGCATAACACACTGTTAAAATGAATAAGGTTCAACAACACTAACGAGCTACCTTCGCAGTAATCCATCATCAGTTCGAAGTAAGGTATTCCTGATGTCGCTTTGAAAACGCTAAATTTATGGTAGGCAAGCAAGCTTTTATTGCGAAAGTTGACTATCGTCACCAGTCGATTGCGAAGTTTCGGCCAATTTTGGTTCGATTGCAGATAACGGTTTCGATTATCCAGGTGAACGACTTTGACAGCCACCATATTTTTCCCGGAAAAGTTTCCTGGTACTGTAATTGTTGCTTTGTATACTTGACCGATTGCTCCGTATCCGATGCAGTCACTCATTAAGTAGCGATATTCACAATTACTGCCAAAGGACTCCTCGTTAATGACTAACTCCGGTTCATGATCGCCAAGCTGTGCATTTGTGATGGTTTCCGGAAATCGGGTGGTTACACTTAACGAACTGGCCTGGCTGTATCTTATCAAATCCAGAAGCTGACTTGCACTGATTCTCTCATTGCTATTGATGCGTAAACATTGCCTAACCCATGCAGCCACTTCCGGTGGGATACTCTCATCAACAACGGGGACATAGCCCTCAATGACACACAACGAGGGACTTTTTGGATCAGTTCTTTGCAGTACGTGTCCGTCTATTTCAAGGGACCAGTGGGTACTCGTTGACACAGTCACAGTTAGCTGTGCAAGCTGAAGAAGAATGCAGCCCAAACTCCAAATGTCCGTTTTTCTTCCAACGGGTCCCTCTGATGATTCAAGCACTCCGCATACAAGCATTTCTGGTGACATGTAGCGAGCGGTTCCCATCATGTGAGTTATGTCGCCTCGAAGTTGAGCAAAGTCCTCGTAATCGCAAATCAGAAGTCGTTCACTACTGTCCACTAGGATACTTTCAGGCTTTAAATGACAATGTATAATTTTTCGCTCGTGCAAATATTTCAGACCCTCCGTAATGTCCACTGCATACGAGATGGCTTTTACCGGGTGAAGTGGACGGCCTTTCTTTTGGATTCGACGAAGTAATTCGTCCAAGTTACCGTCTGCGGACGAAAAATATGCATAACATAAGTATGTAATTAGATAGCAAACAGCTTTAACAGCAATTGAAACAAATAGCTTATGATGTCTTCGTCAGTTATGTCGCAAATACCCGGAAAGTAATCCATGAGCAGTTCGATGTTCCAGTAACGCCTCGCCCGAAACACCGTTATCTTGTGATACTTCACTAGATTGGGATGATCCAGTTCTAGGATTTTTTTCATTTTCGACGCGAATCTTTGTTCACGGAAGCCCGGATGCTCGCGTTTATAATATATAACCTTCACCGCTACCTCCCTGCTTCCAGTGAAATCACCTTGCTCCGTAATGGCCGCTTTGTAAACAACTCCATTTTCTCCTCTTCCTATAAATGATCCCGGTTCGTACTCGTAGCTACAAGATCTTCCGAATACTACAGCTGTCATTTTCAGCACAGTTCAAAATTCAAATGTGTAGCAAGTGCGGAAAATATCAAACTCTTCCCATATAAAACTTGCTGAATCTCTCAACCTCATTAAGCAAAAGAATTATTAAAAGGCGCAGTGACTGTGCTACAGGGACCACGAACGTGTAATTATTAGACGACAATTTTCGAGGTTAATCATTAAACGCTCTGCTGTGTTTGATGCAATTATTTTCGGCAGTATTATAGCACACAAGCACTTGTCCAAGTTGACTCAGCGTGAGCGAGGTCAAGATTGCCCTAGAGATAAACTGATTCTGTCATTCGCCATAACTCACGCTGGGCACAATATGATATTTATTTTGTGTTATCTTTGCTGTACTGTACTTACTGTAGTTTCTGTACCAGTAGCGATACTTATCTCGGGTGTTACGAGTGCATTAGCGTTGCTGCGGCCACATGCAATGCGACTAATAATTTAAGGAAGCGACGGGTTTAGGATACGCGTTTGGCGAAAACAGCGAAAACCGGTCTCATACCGAAAAACGGTCTGGGACAGCTAGTTAGCGCAAAGACAGCCACACTCATACGTGTGTGAAGTGAATGCGAGCGGAGTAACCCACTCATACACACATGTGCCGATCGAGCGATACAGCAAGGCAGCATTCCGCTTGTGCTTTCTGGCAGCTTTAATAATACAGCAGAAAACCGGTAGTCTAATGGTAAGAATTCCCTTCTTGCGTGATTTGATATAATCTTTTCTTTTGTTAGGCAATGGTTTTCCACACACCACTTTGATGTTTATTTGATGACGATATTATTTATGCAAATTTGAGAGTCGCACACAATGTACCACGAGTAGTTCGCATTAGAAGTACAGGCGTGACTTTCGAGTAGGAAAAAAAGTTTTACCGAGTAAGAACGCCAAAATGTGGGGACAGTGCGTGGGATAGAGACGGAACCTGACAAGAGCATAACAAAATCTCACAAAAGGTACAAATATAGTGAAGAATTTATTATTTCATTCGACATCAGTCAGTTCAGAGATCAGATGGGCTAGCACAGGTTATACACTACTTATACTGAACAAATTTATTGAAGAACCGATGAAGGAAGGCCGAGATGCATTGCGGCAGCCAACAAAAAGCAGGGATAATTCCTTAACACCTCCGTGTGAGTTGTGTGATGCAAAGGTAGGTAAGACAGATTCTCAGCATCTACGACAACATCATCGCGTTAGTTTCGGATATTATTATGGTTGTCCACTCGGTCAAATTGTTAGCTTTACCGGGAACCTACCGAAAAGCCAAATTGCGATCGACACAGCAGAACTTGCCGGCCTTAATGGCCAAGGGTTGCTGGCGCATCGTTGCAGTCGCAGCAGCAGCGTCACCTCGTCCAATCTGTTACTTGGAGTGGGACTGAAAAGGTCACGGACATACAGACGCTTTTCCATCGCACGCAGAAGCTGCTCAGCCTAATCGTACAAATATCACAATATTGTAATCAATGTAGTGTATTTCGTTGTACAGCGTTCTGACCGCAGATGCAAAGCGGATGCAAATGGAAATGGGTAGCATTAATTTAATTTAATTTAATCGCAATCAGAGCAGGTAGCCCATATCCGGCTAGGTTGACAGTCTAGCATGGGATTTTAAACCTGGCTGAACATCAAGAAACGCAATCAGAAGATCAGAATCAAATATACAAGGATTTATAGGAAGCTAGCACAGAACAAAGCGGCCTTAAAACAAGTTAGAGAACGTAAGTTCAACAAATCACTACTACAGCAGTAAATTTTATTCGGCAGCTTATTTAGCCTCCATGCGAGCGTCGCTTCTCCAATTTTCGTCACCGCATGTGTTTTGATGGTTGGGCGGCTAACGTGTCGCAAGCTGTACGGCTTCTTTTGCTCGTCCAACACAATCATTTCCGTGATGTACGTCGGGACATGGAATGTCGTAGGGTGCCAGATTTTATATAGCCATGTGGCTTCCTGGTGCTTCCATCTGGTGAAAAGCGGGAGGATTCCGAACTGATTCATTAGCGTTTTGACTGGTGTTCTCGGGTAATTCGCGATCGCCCGAACAGCATTTTGGTGTGCAGCAGCTGATTTTTCACGCATGGACACAGACGCGCCGTTCCACGTTCCAGGATGAGGATGAGGGCGTGCCACAGGATGAGCAGGGCGGGGAAGACGGGCGCACCACGCCCGGCCTTGCTCCGTTGTCCAGGCGTGATCGCCGAGGTAGGAGGAGGCGGCGAGAGCGCTGAGCAGTCGGGTGGTTAAGAGTACCACGACAGCGATCATGGCGAGGATGAGGTGCTCTACCATGATGACCCCGACCCCGTGAGGAACAGCGAAACGGTGTCCGCGTAGAAGAACACGTGTCCGCGGAACGGCCAGTACTCGGCGCCGGCTAACACTTGCGGGTGGAGATACGCGTACTGCGCTTCGCGGATGATACAGACGAGCAGGCACGCCAGGAATCCCAGCACCAAGGTCACTGCTTCCTCACGCGCATGAGGTGTAGTGGTATACACTCTGTTACACAGCAGAAAATTGCCAGTGTTAGTAATATGCATGCCAGATTACTTTCCCAAAATACATAGTGCATACTCGCGTGATGGCGGTAAAAGTGCCAGATGATGAGCGCGCATAGACACCATTTCCCAGTCCAGGCAAAGTGGGCCAACAGCGTACGAACGGTCTGGCTGGACAATGCGGTGACCTGGATGGACACCACAAGTTGAAGCAGAATAGCTGCACCGTTAATCAGTACCAGTTTGACCACAAACACCGCCCATCGTCGGACATTTTCCGCACGAGAGGCAAAAGGTTCTGCGGGGAAGCGAAGTGCCAGCCAGCGCAACAATGTCCACGATAGACAAAGGTCAAGCTCGAGCTCAACGAGCTTGTCTGCTGATTGCACTTCGTCCTTGCTAAAATTGAGCAACGTTTGCTGGACACTACAGACTACTTAGTATAACACCGATTGTCCGCTTGACACTGAGCGCGAGCGAATTCTGCTAGTCCTCGTATTCGGTGTTGGAAAATGCGCTAGGTGTGGATCCAGATGCCCTGCTATCCAGTGATACTGCCGTCTGCTAGCGAAGCTTTTTCGGCAAAACCACCACTATTACTCGTAATACTGATTTATATATACACCACGTATTTAAAAACTATATACTGTTTCACAGGCGGACATGCACCGTGGCATGAAACAAAACAATAATGGTCATATTAAATAAACACAGCGCAAAAACACTTGCAAATTTTTTGGGAACAGCAGCGATGTCATAAAGAAAGAAATTATAACGACTAATGTAATACAGATCGAAAGTCGCTTCCGAAAATGCCCCACACAGCACCGAGTTCCGGGTTCTGACCCACCGGGTTAAGTGCAGTCAGTTGCATTGCTTATTCGCCTCCTTTGCAAACCTCGAGACAGTATCTTTGCTAACGTGAAACATTTCAGCCACTTCCGCTCGGCTTTTCCCTTCCGCGCGTTGCTGAACGATTTTCGCTTTCATTGTCGCATCATGGTTTCTCGGGTCCTGCAAACAAAACAAACTTTACAGTTGACAGCAGGCTACGGTAGTGAAAATCCTGGTCCTCACGGTCTTTTTGCCGGTATCTTTGTTTTTTGTCGATTCCACCAGTACAATCTAAACAGTCGAAAGTGTTAAATATTATAAAGTCAGATGACTAAAATTTCATCACCGTACAGGTACAGTGCAACTGTGCAACACAGTCGGTCCAACAGTTCTCTAAGAGCTTACCATGGGCAAAACGACAATCAGGAGGACAAAGGTTAAGTTTAACAATTTCATCTCGACGACAGCTGCACTCAGTTGACGGCACAGTACCTTCAGAATTCTGCACAAAATTGATTTTAAAGCGCAAAACAGCAGTGTTTGACTGCTCAGTGCTCTAATCGAATGGGTTCCTTATAATTCTTCTTTGTCAACTTTCTAGTACATCCAATTATTTGTGCTACTGCAGCATTGTTCCGTACTTTATAGCTTTCATCACACATGCTTATTACAGTACATGTGTTGTTTTCCTACCAAAACGGTAGCCGGAGGCATTATTTCTGCTCGCTAGGGATAACGAAATAAACAACGTACACATGCACATTGTGGCATGCTTGCACGTTCTGACAATTATTAATGCTGTTTATCAAATAAAATATTTGGCAAGAAAACTTAGGAATCGATTACTTACTTCGTCGATGCGCACAAACTTCTGCAAGCTACTCTAGAAAACACAAGTTTCCGCAACAGAGACCAGCAACCAACACTATTCCGTACTCATAATTATCAAAACAAAACCATGTTGCTAAATTTATTGCTTGTACATGAGCCGAGCAGACAAACCAAAAAGCCCAAAGGGAAAAAAAGAGAGAAAAAAGAAAACAACAAAAAGACCAACAACATAAACAACATCTATCTTAATGACACATTTAGCGGCAAAAGTAATTTCGGCAGTTTGAAAATTCACGAAAACCATAAAAAAAAATTACCAAAGGAAACTGAATTTCACACTTGTCAGCATTTTGTTTTTTAACTGGATTCAGGTTAAAATCCTGTCAGCAAAGACTGTTTGTGTTTTAAACTCGTTTTACTGGACTATAAATGGACATGGTGATGAGCAATGTCCAAGTGTATTGTAAGTGCGGGCGCAGTCTTTTGGATGCGTGAAAAGCCATTACAAAGACATTAAACAGAACAAACACATACGATGAAACGGTATGGGTTTCCCTTTTGCGGTCACGCAGCGCGCGTAAAATGCGAAATTCATGGCTGGTGTCTTTTGAAATAGGGACGAAGCCCCTATTTGGTGAATTAAGACCTTTGACAAAAAAACAATGGAACGACGCTAATTTATTTCGAATGTTAAGTTTGTGTACGAAAGCAACGTGGTCGTTTGTATGCTGCTGTAGCCACTTTTCTACGATAACTCAGTATGTAACACAAATTACAAAGTAAGTGTGAAATCTACCACAAACGCAACGAAATTTAGACGCTCGTGTCAAGTAGGGAGTACTTCAATCAAAATGCAGTCACATATCTGTATAAAACTAATTGTGAAACAGTTTCTCCTATTCGGTTAAGAGCGATGCGTCTTTTTCCAGGAACATGATAGCTGTTCAAGGAAACTCCAGTAATACAGGAAGTCACTTAAAGCAGAAGCCCAAGAACCGATTTTATAAAGAAATAGTTTCTAGATTTGCCAGCGCCGAGTTAGTGGCACTGACTGCCGTTGATATCCACTCTGACGACATAAGAAACATTAAGGCTTGGATCCATATCAACATCATCCAAGTCGGGCAGCGGAAAGGTGGACCACTGCCACGTCTTCGCATCGCACACCTGCATTGTTTGCGCTAGCCCGTCCGTGCCATCAATGCGTCCGCCGAAAACGTACACTTGTTCTTGATAAACGAACGCGCAGTGGTTGGTTCTGGCGTGCAAAAGGTCACTGACCTGCACCCATTGGCTGGTTTTGCGGTCCAATCGGACGCATGATTTTAGCAGTTGGGGTGCAGTCTCGGAGGTGGTTTGACCGCCTAGCAAATAAAGCTCTTTATTGAAAACAACGGCGGCGAAGCCGACACGGTCATCTGGCAGCGATGCAACTGATCCGGGTGGTCCCCACTGCTTTGTTGTCGTATCGAATCGTTCCACCAATCGAACACTCTCGCTGGATGATGCCCCAATTACAAAGATTTTGTTCTTGCTGCGAACTATCCGGTCAACTCTTCTGATCCTGAATAAGAACAGAACAGGTTAGCCTTTATATTCAATAGTAGTGAGTAAAAGGGTCAAAAGAACATAGTCTGATGGTGCCCGTCGATCGAGTCATTTCCAAAAACAGAATACAGTGAACATTCTCACCAATGAGGCATGGGAAGCGGAGATACCGAGAAATTTCTGCCGTCCAGCTTTTTGAACGGTGCTTGAACATCCTCTTCATCCCAAAAGTAGATATGATCGTCAACGTTAACAGCAAATTTTGCAGGTATCCCCAATCCTGCAGTGTCAGCTGTCGTTGTACGCCAGCTCTTTTGGGCGATGTCCAGTTCGATTGTATGCTTATCACTGTTCGTTTTATCTTGTGCTCGGCAGACAATATCATTGCCCAATGTAAATATACCATGGCGAAATTGCATGTTCTTCAAGCTGTTGCCAAACATCAACGGCCGCAGTGTGCCGGTTAGCGGCTCAAACGATTGCATAAGCACTGATGAAAACTGGTTTTCCTGATGGCCGTGGAAGAAGACAAAGAGTTCCTTTGGCACCTTTTTATCAGCTTCCTCCAACAGCGTCAGGAGCTGTTCCGCCGAAGGTCGTTCTTCGCTTGCTGAACGTAAACACTGGCGAATGCAGCTGGAGTAATAGTTTGGAATGGAATCCGGCACGAACGGGACGAATCCGTTCACCAGCTTCTCTTCGAAAACATGGTCCGCAATGCTCTTCCCGGCCATAATTTTTTCCGATTGCTCACACTCCTTTTTCTCCAACCATTTCTCGTCGTTTTTCGCGATGCAGTCTGCCAAATCCAGCATTATGCAACCCAGACTCCAGATATCCATTTTGCGTTCTGTGTTTATGTTTCTTTCTTCAACGATTTCTTGTGATGTTGTTCTGAATCTTTTGAACATTTCTGGAGGTAAATAACGGATTGTTCCATGAAAATGCGGAACGTCGTTTAAGCGGGTTACCGTTCCAGTCATCTGCCAATGCTCGTCCAAATCGCCAATCAGGAGCCGCTTGTGACGGCTTGATGTTTCCTTGACAAGAATGTTTTTTGGTTTCAGATCGCCATGAATGATTTTATTTTGGTGCAGAAAATTTATGCCGTTTGTGATATCCAGTGCGTAACGAATAGCCGTGGTGAACTGAAGGGACTCTTCCGGAGGCACAATGCCGGTTCTCAGTCGATTGAGCAACTTCTCAAGATCACCTAGAAAATATTGCGATGATCAGAAAGAAAAAGTGCAAGGCAGATTACTCAGCTAAATCGTAAATGCATAACAGACTGTTAAAATTAATAAGGTTTAACAACACTAACGAGCTACCTTCGCAGTAATCCATCATCAGTTCGATGTAAGGTATTCCCGATGTCGTTTTGAGAACGCTGAATTTATGGTAGTCAAGTAAGCTTTTGTTGCGAATATTGACTATCGTCACCAGTCGATTGCGAAGTTTCGGCCAGTTTCGATTCGATTGCAGATAACGGTTTTTATTATCCAGGTGAACGACTTTGACAGCCACCGTATTTTTCCCGGAAAAGTTTCCTGGTACTGTAATTGTTGCTTTGTATACTTGACCGATTGCTCCGTATCCGATGCAGTCACGCATTGAATAGCTGCATTCACAATTACTGCCAAAGGACTCCTCGTTAATGACTAACTCAGGTTCACGTTCGCTAAGCTTTGCGTTTGTCATGGTTTCCGGAAATCCGGTGGTTACACTTAACGAACTGTCCTGGCTGTGTCTTATCAAATCCAGAAGCTGACTTGCACTGATTCTCTCATTGCTGTCGATGCGTAAACACTGTCTAACCCATGCAGCCACTTCCGGTGCGATACTCTCATCGACAATGGGGACATAACCATCTACCATGCTACGAATCAGTGCAATTACTTTCGGTTTAAAGATTTCCATTACATGTCCGCCTTTTTCAATTGACCAATGGGTTTTCGTTGACACAGTTAACTTGGCAAGCTGAAGAAGAATGCAGCCCAAACTCCAAATGTCCGTTTTTTTTCCAACTGGTCCCTTCCGAGAGATCATTTTACGTGCAATCATTTCTGGTGACATGTAGCGAAGGGATTCCATTAGATGAGTCAAGTCGCGGGCAGGCATAACGTCGCCTCGAACACAGTCTTCGTAGTTGCAAATCAGAAGTCGTTCACCACTGTCGACTAGGATATTTTTAGGCTGTAAATTACAGAGCATAATTTCCCGCTCGTGCAAATATTTCAGACCTTCCGCAATGTCCACTGCATACGAAATGGCTTTTACCGGGTGAAGTGGGCGGCGTTTCCTTTTGATTCGACGAAGTAATTCGTCCAAGTTACCGTCTGCGGACGAAAAATACGCATAATATAAGAATGTACTTAGACAGCAAACAGCTTTAACAGCAATTTAAACAAACAGCTTATGGTGTCTTTATCAGTTGTGTCGCACCTACCCGGAAAGTAATCCATGAGCAGTTCGATGCTCCAGTCACGCCTCTCCCGAAACACCGTTATCTTGTGATACTTCACTAGATGGGGATGCTCCAGTTCTAATATTTTTTTCATTTTTGACGCGTTTGTTTGTTCACGGTAGTCCGGATGCTCCCAATCTGGATTAAACAAAACCTTCACCGCTACCTCCCTGCTTCCAGCAAAATTACCATGCTCCGTAATCGCCGCTTTGTATACAATTCCATTACATCCTCTTTTTATAAATGATCCCGGTCCGTACTCGTAGCTACAAGTTCTTCCGAATACTAGAGCTGTCATTTTCAGCACAGTTCAAAATTCAAATGCATAGCAAGTGCGGAAAATATCAAACTCTTCCCATAAATAACTTGCCGATTCTCTCAACCTCATTAAGCAAAAAAATTATTACAAGGCGCAGTGACTGTGCTACAGGGACCACGAAACTGTAGTTATTAGACGACAATTTTCGAGGTTAATCATTAAACGCTCTGCTGTTGATCGATGCAATTATTTTCGGCAGTAATATAGCACACAAGCACTTGTCCAAGTTGACTCAGCGTGAGCGAGGTCAAGATTGCCCTAGAGATAAACTGATTCTGTCATTCGCCATAACTCACGCTGGGCACAATATGATATTTATTTTGTGTTATCTTTGCTGTACTGTACTTACTGTAGTTTCTGTACCAGTAGCGATACTTATCTCGGGTGTTACGAGTGCATTAGCGTTGCTGCGGCCACATGCAATGCGACTAATAATTAAGGAAGCGACGGGTTTAGGGTACGCGTTTGGCGAAGACAGCGAAAACCGGTCTCATACCGAAAAACGGTCTGGGACAGCTAGCCCGCGCAAAGACAGCCACACTCATACAATGTAGTACGTGTGTAAAGTGAATGCGAGCGGATTGACTCACTCATACACACATGTGCCGATCGAGCGATACAGCAAGGCAGCATTCCGCTTGTGCTTTCTGGCAGCTTTAATAATACAACAGAAAACTGGTAGTCTATTGGTAAGAATTCCCTTCTTGCGTGATTTGATATAATCTTTTCCTTTGTTAGGCAATGGTTTTCCACACACCAATTTGATGTTTATTCGATGACGATATTATTTATGCAAATTTGAGAATCGCACACAATGTACCACGAGTTCGCATTAGAAGTGCAGGCGTGATTTTCGAGCAGGAAAAAAGTTTTACCGAGTAAAGGCCTATTTATACTCGGCTTTAAGACCGTCACATCTCACGGAACTGATAAAATTTCGCAACTATAAACACTTCCCCATCTCCGTCACATTGCACGTGGCTGACTTTTGGAGTATAACCACATACCCGGACATCGTCCGAAAGTTAGGTCCGTCAAGTTGATGGCCGTCAAAATTTGGCTTCGTCCGTCAAAATTTTGAAATAGAACTGGTTCTATTTTTTCAAAGTTGACCGACATCAAGTTCTGTGCTTTTCGCGCAAGTCTGCTTATTTCAGTAGCCGTTCTTTATGAACTTTCCCCAAACTTGCACGTGGTTTTCACTTAACTTTCTACTACGTTTTGTTCCCTTTAACGTTTTCAAAATTTTTGCATTAGAAACTTTTAGCATGTGTGTGCCACTTTTCATGCGCGATACGTATTTCAGTCTTTAACCCGACCGCGGGTTCACACGTAGTATAGCAACAGAAGCGCAGTTTCTGATGTTTTCAAATCTAAACAAAATTTAAAGTGTTAGATAATTACTGGCACCAGATGTATGTACTAGGTTCCGCTTGCCATACATTCAGCACAGATTGTAAAACAATTATTTCGGGTTGTTTTGGGCTCGAAATTTGGTTTTTGACGGACATGCTGTCCTAGTATAAATAGGAGCCGCTTTGTACACGACCGTGATCTAAGCTGGATGTTAGGGCCGTTTTTTGTCACGGCCACCTTTTTTCTTGTACATTCTGGTGGACGTCCATAAAACACAATTTTGACGGACGTAGAAAAAAACGTGACTGAAGTGAAGTATAAATAGGCCTTAAGAACGCCAAAATGTGCGGACAGTGGGTGGGATAGAGACGGAACCTGACAAGAGCATAACAAAATCTCACAAAAGGTACAAATATAGTGAAGAATTTATCATTTCATTCGACATCGGTCAGTTCAGAGATCAGATGGGCTAGCACAGGTTTACACTACTTATACTGAACAAATTTATTGAAGAACCGATGAAGGAAGGCCGAGATGCATTGCGGCAGCCAACAAAAAGCAGGGATAATTCCTTAACACCTCCGTGTGAGTTGTGTGATGCAAAGGTAGGTAAGACAGATTCTCAGCATCTACGACAACATCATCGCGTTAGTTTCGGATATTATTATGGTTGTCCACTCGGTCAAATTGTTAGCTTTACCAGGAACCTACCGAAAAGCCAAACTGCGATCGACACAGCAGAACTTGCCGGCCGTAATGGCCAAAGGTAGTTAACCCATCGTCTGCAGTCGCATCAGCAGCGTCCCCCCTCCAGTCGATCACTTGCAGTGGGACTGCAAAGGTTACGGGCATACAGACGCTTTTCCGTCACACGCAAAAGCTGCTTAGCCTAATCGTACAAATAACACAATGTTGTAATCAATGTTAGTGTAATTCGTTGGCAGCGTTCTTACCGCAGATGCAAAGCGGATGCAGATGGAAAGGGGAAGGAGGATGAGGACAAGGGCGTGCCACAGGATGAGCACGACGGGGAAGACGGGCGCCCACGTCCGGCCTTGCTCCGTCGTCCAGGCCTGATCACCGAGGTAGCGAGGTAGGAGGAGAAGGCCAGCACGGTCAGCAGCATGGTGACTAAGTGCAGGCACAGAACGGTGGAGCCACTGTCTTCCAGGGAATTAACGGTGCTCTCCAGCTGCGTCAACAACGCGTGACACGTCGTGTACGGTACATAGGTCCCCTGCCGCAGGGAGGCGGCGAGAGCGCTGAGAAGTCGGGTGATTAAGAGCAGCACGACAGCGATCACGGCGAGGATGAGGTGCTCCACCATGATGACCACGCCCCCCGTGAGGAACAGCGAAACGGTGTCTGCGTAGAAGGACACGTGTCCGCGGAACGGCCAGTACTGCGCGCCGGCTAACACTCCCGGGTGGAGATACGCGTACTGCGCTTCGCGGACGGTGAAGACGAGCCATGCATGCCAGGAATCCCAGCACCAAGGTCATGGCTTCATCACGCGCTACCAACCGCCGGATCCGCATTGATGGCTCGGCGCCGGTTAGGCTGGCGATAATCCGCTGGAACTGTTGTACGTTAGAGAATAAGCCGTCGGATGCTATACGAAAAAAGGAGTGAAATATTCATCACCACCTACTACACTATGAAACATACAGCTGAAGTATTAGCAATACACGCTCTGCTGCATTTTGAAAAATATTGTCATGGTGTACACACTACTCACACGCTCGGTGCCGGTAGAAGTGTCCGATGATGAACGCGCCCAGGCACAATTTGCCAGTCCAGGCAAAGTGGGCGAAAAACGTAGGGACGGTCTGGCCGGATAATGCGGTGGCCTGGATGGAGACCACGAGCTGGCGCAGGATAGCCGCGGCGTTGATCAATAGGTACACCAGTTTGACTAAAAACACCGCCCATCGCCGGGCATTTTTTGCACGAGATGGACACGGTTTGGCGGGGATGCGAAGTGCCAGCCAGCGCAACAGTGTCCACGATAGACAAAGGTCAGGCTCATATTCAACGCGTTAGTGTGCTGATTGCATTTCCTCCTTGCCAAAATTGAGCAACGTTTGCTGGACACTACAGACTACTTAGTATAACACCGATTGTCCGTTTGACACTGAGCGCGAGCGAATTCTGCTAGTCCTCGTATTCGGTGGGGAAAATGCGCTACTGTAGGTGTGGATCCAGATGCCCTGCTATCCAGCAACAGTGTTAGCGGGAGTGTTGATACTGCAGTTGTGATACAAAGTAGGTGGCAGTTCTGACGACTGGTCATGTTGCCAATAATCTGCACGCGATCACATTTCCTTTTAATTTGATGTCTTGAAGGCTGAGCCAACAAACCGTAACCGGCGAGAACGCTACAGCTGTTGGTTCCGCAATGTAGTATGTTGTGCACTGGAAAGGAGCTGAAATACCTTCGCTACGGCCACGGCAGTTACAGAGGTCTGCACGTACCGTAAGAAGGGCGAAAGCTGAACAATACTGAATGTTGTTGCGCTCGATAACTGATACTGCCGTGTGTTAGCGAAGCTTTTACGGTAAAACCACTATTAATACAGATTTATACACCACGTATTTAAAAACCGTATACTGTTCCACAGGCGAACATGCTACAAGGCATAAAAATCAATAAACAAAAATGGTAATAATAAATGAGCACCAGCGCAAAAAACATTTGCAAAATTTTTGGATACATCCGCGGTGCTGTAAAGAAAGAATTCATAACGATTGAAGCTATACAGATTGGAAGTCACTTCCGAAAATATCCCAGTGTTCTGACCCACTGGGTTGAGCGCAATCAGTTGCAGTGTTTATTCGCCTCTTTAGCAAATTTCGAGACAGTATCGGTGCTAACGTGAAACATTGCAGCCACTTCCGCTCTGCTTTTCCCTTCCGTGCATTGCTGAACGATTTTCGCTTTCATTGTAGCATCATGGGTTTTCGGGTCCTGCAAGCAAAACAAGCTTCACAGTTGACAGCAGGCTACGTTAGTGCAAACCATGGTCCTCACTGTTTTTTTGCCGGTATCTTTATTTTTGGTCGATTCCACCAGGGCAATCTAAACAGTCAAAAGTGTTAAATATTATAAAGTCAGACAACTCGGATTTCATCACCGTACAGGTACAAGGCCACACAGTCGGTTCAACTTACCAGGGGCATAACGACAATCAGGAGGGCAAATGTTAAGCGTAAAAAGTTCATCTCGACGACAGCTGTACTTAGGTAGTTGACGGTGCCTTCAGAATTTTGCACAAAAATGATTTTAAAGCTGAAAACAGCAGAATTTGACTGCTTAGTGAGTTAGTGCTCTAATCGAACGATTTCTTTGTCAACTTTTTAGTAGATCAATTATTATTTGTGATACTGCAGCATTGTTCCGTACTGTATAGCTTTCATCACACATGCTTTTTACAGTACGTGTGTTGATTTCCTACCAAAACGTTAGCCAGAGGCATTATTTCTGCTCGCTGGGGATAATGCAGTAAACAAGTTACACATGCACATTAAGGCATGCTTGTACGTTCTGATGATTATTAATGCTGTTTATCAAATAAAATATTTGAAAAAAGTTAGGAATCGGTTACTTGCTTTGACGATGCGCACAAAAATCTGCAAGCTAGAAAACACAAGTTTCCGCAACAGATACTAGCAACCAACAATACTCCGTACTCATAATTATCAAAACAAATCAATGTTATTAATCAATCAAGTTAACAAATCAATAATCATCAAAACAAAACAAACAAATGTTGTGGAATTTATGGCTTGTACTCTGTACATGAGCCGAGCAGAAAAACCTTGAAGCCCAAAGGGAAAACAAGAGAGAAAAAACAAAACAACAGAAAGGCCAACAACGAAAATAACACCTATCTTAATGACACATTTAACGGCAAAAGTAATTTCGGCCATTTGAAAATTCACCAAAATCCTAAAAAAATTCCGAAAGGAAACTGAATTTGGCACTTGTCAGCATTTTGTTTTAATTGTATTCGGGTCAAAAAATCCCGTCAGCAAAAACTGTCTGCGTTTTGAACTCATTTTGTTGAACTATAAATGGATTCAAAATGAAAACCTTTTATAATAATGCAAATTGCAACTTACTTTTAGAACGCTCAAGTGCTTGCCTAATATGTGGGCGCCCTGGTGGCAGTTTGCTACACTTTACTCCTTATCCACTTATAGGCTGCTAATAGTAATACTAGCCGCGAATACGATTTAAAAAAAGGTGACCACTCCGTACACACCCTTTCACACCCTTTCACTCCGAGCACAACCTTTTCCACTCCCTTTCATTCCGTACACCACCTTTTAATTTTTTTAATTTTTTCACAGCAGAGCTATTTCTGGAATAAAAAAAACACGCAATCTCGACCGTTTTTTTTATTTTGAACAGCAACGCTTTTCACCCTAATCTCCGCAAGATCTGCTCCGTAATAGTTGTATATTCAATCGTCGCTTGCCAGGTGAGTTTATTTGCCGACGCTGTCATACACCAGGATGTCTTCGTCGGAACGGTCCCATGATGTTGCAAAAAAGTAGTAATATTTTTTTTTGTAGTTTTGCTTTTCTGTGGTACGCGTAATAAGTATTTAAGTATAATATATATAAATATATAATAAAAGTTTGGTAGTGCACCGAGTGAATGGTAGTCCGCAAAAAGGTTGTGCACGGAATGAGAGGGAGTGCAAAAGGTTGTGTACGGAGTGAAAGGGTGTGTACGGAGTGGTCACCTTAAAAAAATCCTGGCGCTCCCCAAGTACCTTTTTTGATAAAGGGGGAGCATTGTGCGCCAGTTTGGAAAGTAGCCGGAATGTCTTCAAGTCACCCTTGCTTTTTTTAAGTAACCGAATCTTCAATTTACGGGGAAGCCATGGCTCCTCTAGCAGTCCCGTAAACGCGCCACTGCTCAACTTCATGATCAGCGCCTTGAGATTCCCACGGCACTAAACGTTTCTTCTAGTGTTAACTGAAATGGACTTTTCGTTTAAATGATGTGTATGCGGAGTCATTTGGAAGCGTGAAAGCTATTACGAAGGCATTCAACAGAATACGACGAAACGATGTGGTTCCCTGTTGCGGTCAGGCAGCGCGCGTAAAATAAGAAATTCATGGATGTAATCTTCAGAAACTGGGACGAACCCCATATTTGGTGACTTAAGACCTTTGGAAAAAAACAATGGAACTACGCCACTTTATTCGTGTGATAATTTGTGTACTACGAGGGCAATTGGGTGCTGTGAACATACCCTGCACGCTTGGGCTGCGATGAACAGCCGGTTAAATTTAAGCCGTTTGCATTTAGTAAACGGTGATGTCAGTAGCGTTGCGAGCAACGGCTAACCGGCTGTTCACAGCACCCAATTGTCCTCGTACAGCTACACGGATGTTTTTACGCTGATGTAGCCACTTTCCTACGATAACTCAGTAATAAGTGTAAAATCGTGTCAAATAGGGAGTACTTCAGTGAGTTCAGTCCAAATGTCAAAGATAAAACTATTTGTGAAGCGGTTAACCCTAATTCGGCCAAGAGTGGTGCATCTTTTTCCAGGAACATGCTAGTTATTCAAGGAAACTCTAGTTATAGAGGAAGCCACTTAAAGCAGAAGGCGAAGAGTCGATTTTTTAAAGGAACAGTTTTTAGATTTTTTACCAGCGCCGAGTTAGTGGGACTGACTGCCGTTGATATCCACTCTGACGACATAAGAAACATTAAGGCTTGGATCCATATCAATATCATCCAAGTCGGGCAGCGGAAAGGTGGACCACTGACAAGTCTTCGCATCGTACACCTCCATTGTCTGCGCTAGGCCGTCCTTACCATCCACGTGTCCGCCGAAAACGTACACTTGTTCCTGATAAACGAACGCGCAGTGGTTGGCTCGGGCGTGCAAAAGGTCACCCACCTGCACCCATTGGCTGGTTTTGCGGTCCAATCGGACGCATGATTTTAGCAGTTGGGGTGCAGTCTCGGAGGTGGTTTGACCGCCTAGCAAATAAAGCTCTTTATTGAAAACAACGGCGGCGAAGCCGACACGGTCATCTGGCAGCGATGCAACTGATCCGGGTGGTCCCCACTGCTTTGTTGTCGTATCGAATCGTTCCACCAATCGAACACTCTCGCTGGATGATGCCCCAATTACAAAGATTTTGTTCTTGCTGCGAACTATCCGGTCAACTCTTCTGATCCTGAATAAGAACAGAACAGGTTAGCCTTTATATTCAATAGTAGTGAGTAAAAGGGTCAAAAGAACATAGTCTGATGGTGCCCGTCGATCGAGTCATTTCCAAAAACAGAATACAGTGAACATTCTCACCAATGAGGCATGGGAAGCGGAGATACCGAGAAATTTCTGCCGTCCAGCTTTTTGAACGGTGCTTGAACATCCTCTTCATCCCAAAAGTAGATATGATCGTCAACGTTAACAGCAAATTTTGCAGGTATCCCCAATCCTGCAGTGTCAGCTGTCGTTGTACGCCAGCTCTTTTGGGCGATGTCCAGTTCGATTGTATGCTTATCACTGTTCGTTTTATCTTGTGCTCGGCAGACAATAACATTGCCCAATGTAAATATACCGTGGCAAAAATGCGTGTTCTTCAAACTGTTGCCAAACATCAACGGTCGAAGTGTGCCGGTTAGCGGCTCAAACGATTGCATAAGCACTGATGAAAACTGGTTTTCCTGATGGCCGTGGAAGAAGACAAAGAGTTCCTTTGGCACCTTTCTATCAGCTCTCTCCAACAGATTCAGGAGCTGTTCCGCCGTCGGTCGTTCTTCGCTTGCTGAACGTAGACACTGCCGAATACAGCTGGCAAAATAGTCTGGAATGAAACCCGGCACGAACGGGACGAATCCGTTCACCAGCTTCTCTTCAAAAACATGGTCCGTAATGCTCTTGCCGGCTACAATTTTCTCATACCGCTCACCCCCGTTTTTCTCCAACCATTTCTCTTCATTTTTCGCTATGCAGTCTGCCAAATCCAGCATTATGCAACCAAGACTCCAGATATCCATTTTGCGTCCTGTGTTTATGTTTCTTTCTTCAACAATTTCTTGTGAAGTTGTTCTGAATCTTTTGAACATTTCTGGAGGTAAATAACGAATTGTTCCATGAAAATGCGGAACGTCTCTTAAGCGGGTCACCGTTCCAGTCATCTGCCAATGCTCGTCCAAGTCGCCAATCAGGAGCCGCTTGTAACAGCTTGATGTTTCCTTGACCAGAATGTTTTTTGGTTTCAGATCACCATGAATGATTTTATTCTGGTGCAGAAAGTTTATGCCGTTTGTGATATCCAGGGCGTATCGAATAGCCGAGGTGAACTGAAGGGAAGCTTCCGAAGGCAGACTGCCGGTTCGGAATCGATTAAGCAGTTTCTCAAGATCACCTGGAAAATTTTGCGATGATCAGAAACAACAAACGCAAAGAAGATTACCCAGCTAAATCTTAAATGCATAACAGACTGTTTAAAATTTAAAAGGTTCAACCCAACACTAACGAGCAAAGCCTAGTTATGTTCGCATACCTTCGCAGTAATCCATCATCAGTTCGAAGTAAGGTATCCCTAATGTCGTTTTGAGAACGATGAATTTGTGGTAGGCAAGCAAGCTTTTATTGCGAATATTGACTATCGTCACCAATCGATTGCGAAGTTTCGGCCAGTTTTGACTTGACTGCAGGTAACGATTTTGATTGTCCATGTGAACCACTTTGACCGCCACCGTATTGTTCCCGGAAAAGTTTCCTGCTGCTGTAATTGTTGCTTTATAGACTTGACCGATGGCTCCGTATCCGATGCAGTCACGCATTGAATAGCTGCATTCACAATTACTGCCGAAAGACTCCTCGTTAATGACTAACTCAGGTTCACCTTCGCCAAGCTGTGCGCTTGCTATGGCATCCGAAAATCCGGCGGTTACACTCAGCGAACTGGCCTGGCTGTATCTTAATAAACCAAGAAGCTCGCTGGCACTGATTCTCTCTTCGCTGTCAATGCGTAAACACTGTCTAATCCATGCAGCCACTTCCGGTGGAATGTTTTTGTCAACAAAGGGGACATAACCGTCGATCATGAACTCCATCAACACGTGACCGGCGACGGAAATACAAGATCGAATAAAATCGTATTTTATTAGATCGGAACAAAAACATCAATCATCGTGAGCAAAACATCAGCGAAAAACAAAACAGAAAACACCGAAGTGAAATCTAGAAATCTTTCACTGAGGCAATATCCGTCGTAATGAATCGGAGAATCCGATGAATGGAGATCGACTGCACAAGAGCGGCTCGGCAGCTCCGATCCGGCGGTCCAATCCGAGACCGACGTGAGCTCAGAGCCGAACGCTCTGGCATGCCACGGGTGGGGACACGGAGGTCCTCCGACGTCTATCGGATCCATATCGGCATCGGGGGATCCAAGGGTGTACAGTACGCGTCCGTCTTTTTCAACTAACCAATCGGGCTTCGTAGACACAGTAAACTGTGCGAGCTGCAGAAAAATGCAGCCCAGACTCCAGATATCCGTTTTTCTTCCAACAGGTCGTTTTAAAGATTCAGGGCGCACTGCAAGTGCAACCATTTCTGGTGACATGTAGCGAGCATATCCCCCCTTGTGACGTATGGCGCCAACAACTGTAATGTTTCCCCGAAGTTGAACAGAGTCGTCGTAGTCGCAAATCAGAAGACGTTCATTGCTGTCGACTAGGATATTTTCAGGTTTTAAATAGCAGTGTATGATCTGCTGCTCATGCAAATATTGCAGACCTTCCGCAATGTCCACTGCATACGAGATAGCTTTTACCGGGTGAAGTGGACGGCCCCCTCTTTGGATTCGGAGAAGTAATCCGCCCAGGTTGCCGTCTGGGCACGAGAAATACGCACAACAGTACTACTTGCAAGTTAGATAATCTAGCTAAACAGTTTATAATGTCTTTGTCAGTTGTTTCGCACCTACCCGGAAAGTAATCCATGAGCAATTCGATGGAGCAGCGCACAATCTCCCGAAACACCGTCATCTTGTGATACTTCACTAGATGGGGATGCTCCAGTTCTAGATTTATTTTCATTTTCGACACGTATGCTTGTTCACGGGAAACGAAACTTCGAAATACCTTCACCGCTACCTCCCTGCTTCCAGCGAAATTACCGTGCTCCGTAATCGCCGCTTTGTATACAGTTCCGTTACTCCCTCTTCCTATAAATGATCCCGGTTCGTACTCGTAGCTACAAGTTTTTCCGATTACTTCAACTGTCATTTTCAGCTCAGTTCAAAATTCAAATATATAGCAAGTGCGGAAAATATTCAACTATTCCCATAAATAGCATGCTGATTCTCTCAGCCGCAGTACTCTGTAAGCCAGTCGTACAAAGATATTAATACAACTTATACAAGACGCAGTGACTCTATTACAGCGACCCTGAAACTGCAATTACGAGACGACGATTTTCGAGGCTGTTCACTAAACGGCTTGCTGTGATCGATGCGATTAAATTCGGCTGTATTATCCCCTTCAAGCGCTTTTCCAAGTTGACTCAGCGCTAGCGAGGTTAAGATTGCCCTAGAGATGCAATAACATTATCATTCATCACATTACTCGCGCTGGGCACGGTATGTTTTCTTTGCTGTACTGTACTATACTTAGTAGTAGTACTAAATACTGTAGCTTCTGTACTGGTAGCGGTACTTATCTGATCTGGCGTTACGACTTACGAGTGCATTAGCGTTGCTGCGGCCACATGCCGTACTGCTGATTCTTTCTAAGAAGCCGTTCCATTTGGTATCCATAGACCTTTATCGCAATTCAACAGTAAGAGCGACATCCTGCCATTACTAACTGCAGTCCGCGTAAAGTAAAAGTTAATAGCTGTTTCTTAGGAATTTTTTTACTGCACATGAGCACATCCAAACTTGGATATACCGTAAAAAATTTAGAGGGAACAGTTAAACGACAGGCTGTTACCTTTAATAAGTATCATATTATGCGGAAGTCGCACTACGACTACCGGCGACCGCACTAGTTGACCAAACGTTACTCAATAAAAGTGGTAAAATACGAAAGATAAATAGGTAAATGTTTTCTTAGGCGAAGATCTATTTACCAAGCTGTTACCTATTCCTACGTGCACTAGCGTTTCTAAGTCAAGACAGAACTCCTAAATCAGAATCCAAGTAGGATAACGCCGCACTTAACATGGGATAATTCTAGCGCTAGTAAGTAATAAAAACTAGCCATCATCAACCAATTAGCGGCAACAGAGTAAATCGCGTACAACAGTCTGTTAACCTGTACAACGCTTCCAACTATCTCAGCGCCAATATAATTATTATCAGATACAAACTAAGTACCAAAAATAACATTCATATCGGAAACACTTCCTCTATGCCACATATCGCATTTCCACGTTGTATTTGGATAGATCGTCACTGCTTAAAAACTCTATCGCCCGTTTCTGACCAGTGAAGTCGCTATACCGCTTCCAACCTTCTCCACTAGCTTTTTAGTTCCATCGTCCCAGGGTCCGTAAATTTAATGGCCGCCGACTGGGAGCGGGTTTGGGAGTGCCGACGGGGAGGCTGTCGGACTTCAGTTCCGATATGCCTCTTTGACAAACAATTTACGTGTTACACGTACTACACAGTATACGCTCTTCGAAGTGCGGGGAACAGTGATGCACGATTGTTACCTATAAAAGTGTGCAAATGCTTATTGAGCAGTTGGTATGTTTGCGCGGCGTATCCATTTGACCAGATTACAGACACTCCAGTTTGTTCATGAAACTTAAGAACCATTCAGTGGTTTTCTGCCCGTCAGGTGGATAGCGGTTCCCTTTGTGGTTCTGCATAAGTGATAAGTCTTCGTAGTGCGAGATCTGATCGGTTCGCATGCCGAAGTTAAGGAGTCCAGGATATCGTTCCGCAGGTTCCGAAATCAGTCTGTGCTGTTGGCTGCCAATAGTTAATATGCTCCTTTGTATGTCCGTTGACCGGACGCCCTGACACCGCCGGGGGATGCTGATCCGGTGCGGACTAAAGACTGATTGCCTAACTACCTCAGCGTCTACAAATACCGCAAAAATTGACTGCTCTTTATCGACATATTGAGATGCTATACGGAAGTTGTACCACAGGTCCACAACTTCCGCACTCGATGACCAACCTGCTCAGTCGGTAAAAGGGAATACGCTCTGGACTCCCATGAATGGTCGTACACAAACTAACTCCTACTTCCGACAGTACAGCGGATGCGGTACTAACGAAAGTAGCCGAAACCCCGACACTTGGAAACTTCTCAATGGTTGTAAACAACAAAACAGAACAACATCCGCTCTACGATAAAGCCACAACGACGATCTATTAAAAGCTAATTGAAGTGACTTCGCAGTCTTGGGTCGGCCTACTTACCTTTACCCGTCTTTTACTTTTACCTTTTCAGTGTTGCCCTTTTAACTTTACCTTTTTCATTGGCTTAACTTTGCCGTCGAGATTACCTTCACCGTCCCAGGTGACCTTTGGAAAACACCGTTGCAAAGCCCGTCCCGTTAATCAATATTTAAAATATTAGCGTCGTCACTGCACCGTTTTAAAAATGCAACTTTCTCTCACTGTTTGATGCTTTAAAATTAGGAATGCATTTACTGGCCGTTACCATGCATATGTCCAAAAACATAATACTACTGTATCCGCAGCGTCCTCTGTGTTCTATGCAGCTAAAAAGTTATCTTCAGTGCAAAATAACACCTCTGAATGGTGCACTCATCCGAAAAACTCTGATGAAAATCGGCGACGTTGTAAACGGTTGAATTTGTAATCTTTTCGTTATCTAGAGAGGGTGCGGCAGCCCAGTTGAAACAGCTCATTCAAAAATTCTCATTAATTTTGTTTTTGAAATTATTTGGCTATGTTTATCACCATTTATTCCTACAATGTATTTGCTCTTGAATGATGCTAATTTCATGGAAAAAGTTATTCGCCATAGCTCCAATAATCAGGTTCCAGTAAATGTCATCGATTTTTAGGCTTGACCAGTTGAAAAAAAATTCTCTAGGAAATTTCGGATAGAGGAACGAAATTCTTTAATCGTGATTGTTTTCGTATAATTTCTCTTGACCATAGCAACTGAAAAATATATGGTTCTCCATATAAAAAGTCTGTCCCCTGATTTCAGATCCCGAAAAACAAAAATGAAAACAACTAAAAAAAAGCTTCCAAAGGTGCAGGGTTCATGTTCGCGGCGAAAATTTTAATTTTTAAACCTGTAGCCATGCGAATTGTCCCATCCATAGTTAAAATGAAAGCTAAGTGTCACACAAACCATATTTCAAAGTTTTCGTCCGCAGAAGACATTTCTCGAGTTCGCCCTAGAGCGAGACGAGAAGGTCCCCCTCGGAATGGACACTACCCAAGCTAACAAGACCAGCAAAATGCACCGATGGGTGAGATCCGGGTAACAGCAAGCACATTCCTCTCAAAAATGGATGCTGAATTCGTTTAACCTATTTTCATTCCATTCTGGAATGAACGAGAATTTTTTAAAATTATTTTGTGAACAAAGTGCGCTTCGGCATTTGCGGACTGGTAAGGTGCTCCCTCAGCGCCAGACTTACGGTTGACATTCTTCTTCGTCAAAGATGCATAGCAGATTCGATTAGTGGCGTTTAAGACATACCTGATTGTTTGGGCATTCAGTAAAAAAAGTTTGACAAAAAAATTATTTGCAGTACACTGCGAAAAAAAATTTTGAAAAGTTGTTTCAATTTGGCTGCCGCACGCTCTGGAGAAATTCGAACGCGTGGATGATCCGGTATTGAAACTGTATATATGTACTGGTGTAGTCAAGCGAGCGAGCGAAGCGAGCGAGCGTTTTTAAGTTGTAGTGCGTCACGCGAAGAGCTGGGTCCCCGGGGTCCAGGGGTGAAGCCCCTGGCCGGGGTTTGGGGCGGAGCCCCAATAAGCAGGGGGTGCGGGGGGCGCAGCCCCCCGCTGAAACAATTGAGAAGGTACCACAAAATTATCAGTACTTACCGGCCCAGGTGCAGTATTTTGGAAGAACCGTCACACGGAGAACCACCCGGGCATTATTGACGAACCCGCCGTACTAAAGTATGGCAGGGCCGTAAATTTTGACCCGGTCCGAAAATTTTGACCGGTCCAGGTGGCGTGTTTTGGAAGAACCGTCACGCAGAGAACCACCCGGGCATTATTGACGAACCCGCCGTACTAAAGTATGGCAGGGCCGTAAATTTTGACCCGGTCCGAAAATTTTGACCGGCCCAGGTGGCGTGTTTTGGAAGAACCGTCACGCAGAGAACCACCCGGGCATTATTGACGAACCCGCCGTACTAATGTATGGCGGGGGCGTATTTTAACAGATCTTTTACCGGCCATTTGAACATGGTTTCACCACTTTTCGGCAGGATCGGTTAACCAACTTAAAGAAATTGAGGCACCACTGAACCATCAGTAAATTCGCGTCAGTGAGTATCGAAAGATTCGACCAGACAAAACTTGGAGCGATCCGTCAACAATTTTTGGAAGTACCCGTATCGTTTTAGTATCGGCCAGCAGGATGTAGATCCCTGCCAGGTTCCTCGAGCCAGAACTAAACTCTAGCAAAAGATACACTCCGTTGAAAAGCCTATGGTGGTTGCTGGAGCTGCACAACATAATTATCTCACTCAAGAAAACGTGGCCGCAGCTCACAACAGCAAAAAGCCGCCCGTCGGAATGTGCAAAACCTGGGTAACTGTGATACGACATCGAGAGACGGCTCTCAAGTCCCTCATGAAGACTCGAGTTGAAGCAGACCGGCTACAAATAACTGCAGACAAATGCCTTTAATAACTGGTAGATCAGTGATTCGAGAAGTTGTTTTCCTAAACTCGACCGGAGTAGACAAAAATCGTCCGAGCATTGACACATCAGATCCACATATGGCCGACGCCAACAACCGCAATAATTGACATGGACCTGAAATTTCCACACAGACAAAACCGCAAACAGAAAGAATGGTTTGCAAACCGAACCAGCTGCACCTATGGGGTGCCCCAGCCTATCCCGATACCAAAACCCCAGAGGCAGTGGAGAAAAAACGAAATTGAAGCTGATCACACAGCTATCTCTGCTCCCCCCCAACACCCTAAAAAAAAGAAGCCATCAGGCGGGAAGACAGGCAATAGTCCTCCACATGGAGTTTATGGAGTATGGAAACTCTGTACCACACGGCTTTTAAATTCCGCGCTTAGATTTAAACAAGCCTACCTGCCGGTCCATGCAATACCCGCACCCATCTGGAAAACAAGATACCAGCATCGTGCAGAACATGGGGCAAAGAGCATCTCATGAAAACGAGGGCCCTAAAAAATTTTGCCACCAATGCCGAACCTTTATGCGCGGAAATTACAGTTCAACAGCCGGAATGAGGTGAAAGAAATAAAGGCCACCCCCTTGGACGGCTCCAACTATCCTTGCTTAACGGTAGAATGCCAGATTTGGCACTGCGATACGGATATCGTTCAAAGCATCCGTTACCTGAAGTGATGGCAAGTCGTCGTTCCCATTCCGACGGACAAGGTAGAAAAGCACAAGGCCTTCCCGGGAGACCCTTGGTATGCTAACCAGGATAGTTACCTAAGTCTACAGCCTGCTGGCTAATGGTGGCAAACCGACAATATCGGCGATTGATTACGGGTTGCGAAGCCACTGTGCCACCGAATAGGGCACGAAAAGACCACCGCAGCCAGTTAGCCCCGCCTTTAAACGCAAAAATTTGAGTGTCAAATATTAACTATATGCTTTGCCAAATGCAAACCGCCATTTTCAAACAAATTCTCGCGTATCTGCTCCTGTTTTTATTCATCACCGGAACCGAATTTCGTTGTTTCAAATCTTCCGCATGCCAGTATGCGCAAAAAAATCAAGAGCCACTGTTGTTTAACTGCAGTGGCTCTGACATCCCAAAATCATGGACTCGAATGGGTTTTGGAAAAGTTGGTTTTGCATTCATATATTCGTTGTTTAACTGCCAGTTACTTTATCGTTTTCCGTCGTAAGAGGTACCTTATCGGTTATTACAATAAATACTATATCATTTTGCGCCACCAGTTACCCTTGTTTTTTCGCTTTTACTTGGTTTACCACTTTTTGTTACTTGAATCATACTTTTACATTCAACTGCCTTAAGCCTGCGCTTTCCGCGAAGTGAAAGCCAACTACTCTCCTTATGTCTTGCAGTCACAGCAGAAATGCATCCCACTGAGTGGAATAGTGTTTCTTCTATATTGTATTCGAAATAAGGTTATGTTTTATTCTCGTTTCATTTTTTTGCTTTGCGACTCTCTTTGCTCTTTCGGGACCATCCCTTACGCCGCCAGGTGTAGCATTGTTTATCGGCTGGTTGCGGCCGTCAAGTTGAAGAGCTGGCTCAAAATCTTAAAACATGCCGGTCAGCACTACCTGTGAGCATGATGCTTTTGGCGGCTATCCCAAGACCGGCCTGCGCTAAGCCAGATGTGCTTAACGGTTTTCTCTGTGCTCCGACTGTCCACTACCCCTTTGGAGCTAAGCGCGTTATGTCAGACTGCCAACCCGCTCTCGACTGCCTACTCTTTTCTGCGTGCAAAAACCGGCTTTGCTATTCTCCAAAACATTCCATTCGGCCGACCGCACTCAGAAACAAAATCTCAATGTTATAAGTCCCGTCGCCGCTAAGTTACCTGTCAGTACTGGTGGTCGTGTCCGTGGACGTCAATGTCGTGTCAGTGGGCTGACCTCACTAAGCCGGCTATGACCCGGTGTGACCCGGTAGCCTGAACATGTTTAATTTTAAAAATAGTTAACGCTACTTCTGCACAGACAGACATCTGTTTAATAATCGCTTTTTGTCTATAACAAACAGACAAGTTTGCGGGTTGCCAGAATTGTATGAGATCATTTATCGGGTTTTGCTGTTGGCTCTTATTAAAAATTTACAGCAGACTTCATTACCCAATGAAAGGATGTACCCTTCTATACCCTGTTTATACCCAATAAAAGGATGTACAAACAAATACGGTCGTCTTATTCTGAAAGTCGGTGCCAGGACCGACATAGTATAGGACGTCTGACGTAAACAGCTTACCGATATGTCCCAGCATATGATGCAGCTGGGAACGGTAAGACAGACCCCCGCATGTTTACTGTTGTTGGTGTTTTATCCAAAGAAGTTTTTGCACAAAAAAGTATTACACGCTCGCTCGCTTGCACTAAGGGCGGTTACGACCTTCTATACTAGTAAAAGTGATCAGTTGCCGAGAAAAAGTCGGGCAGCCGAGGGTCACCGATACCTCGTGGTCCTCATGGTATGCCACGCTGAGTTGCCCAGTGCAGTAGCCAGAGTAAATGGCCGTGGTGGTGCAGCAGGCGAAGCCGACATTCCCAAAAACAGAGTCTTCCTGCTTGCTTTCGAAGACAAGGCTACCGGCGGTCACACTCCGGCCAGTAAAGTCCGGGTCCAGTTGGAAGGCTCGGCCAAATTGTCTGCGACGCCGCACCGGCGAAGGAGTGGTATGGCGCCACTACAACGGCACCATGTTCAGCTATCTCGGAAGCTTCTCTAACAAGGCATGCACCGGGCGCGTCGACTGCAGCCAGACGAAAGCAGAAGCTGCTTCATCGGGAAATGCGACGGACATTTTCGGTTGGCGCCATGCAGTTCAATGGCTACGCCATTGAACGAACAGCGCATCCCGGCAGTCCAGTTATTGCTTTTAGCGATGCGTTATTGCTAATTACACGTTTCCCCGGCCCTCATTCCAGCGGCCAGCCGATTTACCGGCTTGTTGCCGGCGTGACAGGGCGCGGTCCGACCAGTTAGAACTAATCCGTCGGGTAGCGGTCCGCTGGGAAAGAAAGAATTTAACAGCAATAGGCGGGTTGCCTGGCGTGCCTGATCGCCTCCATGGTCCGTAAAACCCATCTCTCTCACCAGGCATTTGGGGGTGCGGTGTGTTGGCCGTTCCGCAAATCAGACACATCTGTCTCCTTCTACTTAGACGCCATCACGCTGCTTCCCACGAGGCCGGGCGCGGTCTTCCTGGTGGAGGACCTCATCTTCAAAATGAGCGCTGTCGTTGTCGGTTGTGCTCTTTGTAGCCTGGCTGCTAGGCGCTGCAAGTCCCCACTGCGCCACGGGACGGGTGATCTTCCGCTATAAACGATGTGCACGTCGGGCGTCGGTATGGCGAGAGTCATGAAAGGCCTTGTCGGTATCAACATTTAGAAAGGGTGTCTACTAATAAAGTGTTTTTATGCCAGTGCACAGCCTGCTTTAAAATTCTTCACCCAGAGCGAAAGCAAGGGGTGTGGCTTGGGCTCAGCCATACAGAGAATGAGAATGCTTCGGCTCTGACCATTCACATGCAGTTTATTCATAAGAGGGGATGTCAGTAGCGCGTCTAGATAACCCTTGTACTTGCTACCGTCACCCGGCTGGAGTATGACGTTGCGGCAATACAAAAAATATGTCTGAATTTGGCGGGTACATAAGCATTAAGCACCATTTATGGCCACAACGTTTAACTCCGGCCGGCAGTCAGCAGCAAGTACAAGGATTACTTAGATGCGCTCGTATATTTACTTATCAGCGTGCAGCGGTAGTACTGCAAGCAAAGCGCATTACACACTCAATACAGCAAGTTGAACGACAAGTTTTTAGATGAACTGCATGTTTTCTTTATCGTGGATATTGGAAACCCAGATTTTAACAAATGCAGTCATATCGCCACCGACGCCACATAAAATCTTAAATGGATTGCAGTTATTCGTCAAACATGACGTCCTGTCTGGGGAGCTGAAAGTGATGATGCGATTTAATATAATAATATTATTATAGTATACGCTTATACCGTTGTACGATTGTACAGTATATACTTATATGCTTCTACACTCGTACAATACAAAACGGAACGTGTCTGCTCGGATGAGTTGCTGAAAATGAGTCGGTACTGTATGTGGCGGCAATAAAATAACCTTAAATGCAATTTCTTCTACAGAAGTACTCGTAATAAAAGCGATCGGTATTTAACTAACGATAAGTATACAAGCATATCAAACCGGCCAAGTGTACATAACAAGATAAGGATATCACGCATCGACGAACTCTGAATTAAGTGTGCAATGCGCATGTCCGTTCGAAGCGCATTCTTTACCGCTGTTTCGCTAGTTAGCTTTGGAAAAAAGCCGGTATGGGTTGATACAGTAGAAATTAATTGGATCCATTACGACACGGCACTGCATGAATAATTGCAAGACCGTCGCCTAATTATTTTTTCGCGATAACTTTATTAATATAGCTGCGCCTTGTGATGATTTGCTTTTGCACCTGCCTTAACAGCGCTGAAAAAAATCGGCCGTTTATTTATGGAAAGAATTGGACATATTTTGCGTTCCTTATTCTTTTGAATTGAACTGAAAATGACAGTCGAAATCTTTGGAAGAAGTTGTTCCTACGCGTACGGACCCGAATCATTTATAGGAAAAGGAAGTAATGGAATTGTATACAAAGCGGCGATTACGGAGCATGGTAATTTTGCTGGAAGCAAGGAGGTAGCGGTGAAGGTTATGCATCAAAATTTCGAAAGCATGGACTACCATAAACGAATATATGCATCGAGAATAAACAAATTGCTGGGAATGGAGCATCCCCGTCTACTGAAGTACCACAAAGCAACGTTCTTTCGGGAGATTGGTGGCTCCTCCATCGAACTGCTTATGGATTTCTTCCCAGGTATATTTTGCAATACAACTTCCTAAGACTGTTTTGTCAAATTATCTAACCGATACGTAGTTTTTTTTTGTTTTGCTAATTAAGTTTCTCGTATGCAGACGGCAACTTGGACCGGCTGCTTAAGCGAATCCAGAAAAGTGGTCGTCCACTGCATCCGGCGAAAGCTATCTCGCATGCGGCGGACATTACGGAAGGCTTGAAATATCTGCATGAGCGGCAAATTATACATTGTGATTTAAAGTCACAAAACATCCTAGTCGACAGTAATGAACGACTTCTGATCTGCGACTACGACGACTTTGTTCAACTTCGATACGACGTAACAGTTGGTGGCGACATAACTCACATGAGGGGAACTGCTCGCTACATGTCACCAGAACTGGCTGCACTTGCAGTTGGCGTTGAATCAACAGAGGGACCTGTTGGAAGAAAAACGGACATTTGGAGTCTAGGCTGCATTCTTCTTCAGCTCGCACAGTTAACTGTGTCAACACACACCCATTGGTCAATTGAAAAAGACGGACATGTACTGGACACCCTGAACCTTAGTGATCAGTTTTTCATGCTTAGAATGGCTGACGGCTATGTCCCCGTTGTTGATGAGAACATTCCAGCGGAAGTGGCTGCATGGGTTAGACAATGTTTACGCATCCACAGCAATGAGAGAATCAGCGCAAGTCAGCTTTTGGATTTGTTAAGATACAGCCAGGCTAGTTCGCTCAGTGTAACCCCCGGATTTCCGGAAGCCATAGCAAATGCACAGCTTGGCGAAGTAGAACCTGAGTTGATCATTAACGAGGAGTCTTTCGGCAGTAATTGTGAATGCAGCTATTTAATGCGTGACTGCATCGGATACGGAGCTATCGGTCAAGTCTATAAAGCAAAAATTACAGCAGCAGGAAACTTTTCCGGGAACAATACGGTGGCTGTTAAAGTCGTTCATCTGGATAATCAAAACCGTTATCTGCAATCGAACCAAAACTGGCCGAAACTTCGCAATCGACTGGTGACGATAGTCAATATTCGCAATAAAAGCTTACTAGCCTACCATAAATTCACCGTTTTTAAAACGGATCTTGGAATGCCATACATTGAACTGATGATGGATTACTGCGATGGTAAGCGAAGATTCGAAAATACCTTGCTCGTACAGTCGCTCGTAAAACTTAACTGACTGAGCAATGGTGATTCGGTGGGTCGCCACTCTTGAATTACAATATAATACCCCGAACCGGCTCCTTTCCGGTTTTCTTCTTTATCTGACTAAGTAGATCGCACCCTTTTGCAGAGCACTTGCAGTTTGGAAACTATTTAACCATTTTTTTGCGTCGTTAAAAAAACGGTGGCGAAACACATAAGCAGTTTCACGCGAACCGCTGCACTACTTTATTGATAAACGCAGTCACCGTCACGCACGTGCGGCTGTGGCGTCGCTGTACGTGATGCGATACTGGAACAGTAGCCGATCTGGGTGCTGTTCTACAGAGCTGTAGTGGGTTGGCGTGTTGACCGTACCACGATGTTGTGTGGGCTGGTGGGATGAAAGGTTGGCACGACCGGCAACGGCGCGGTCGTGGACGCTCTTACTGACGTAACACAATTACTGAACGTAACAACGGACGTTCACGGCATGTTTAATGACAAGAACAATGCAACACTAGCAAGGTTTAGGCAAGCATTTAACAAGCGGAACAAGCTGATGCAAGCTGTAATAAGCGAATGCAAGACTGAATTGTAGAAATTGTGAAGAAGAACAGCTAGCCGGTAAAATGGGCAGAAATTCATAACGCAACGATGAATCATAACTGGGTGGTCTTATGGTTGTACAACTTCTATCGCTTACTCCTATACACATGTACCAACTAACAGTGAACAAGACGAGCGATAAATCTTCATTAAATAAAGAAACTAATCAAACTGAAAAAAAAATTTGAATTTAAATTATACAGGCTACCCGCATGATTATGTGTAATGATCACTCCTGTTACCGATATAGTGGTATAGTGCATTGGCCCGCGTGACTTGACCAGTAAATGTTTCGTCACTGTTTTCGTAACCAACTGAAACTGCCAGAAAAAAAGTTAAATTTTTTAAAAAAAAACTTTCAAATACTCATTACACCGTGCGCTTTCCTTCAGCAGGTGCAGAGAAAACAGAAAGGAAATGGTTATGTGCAAATTATAGTTATAGTTCAAGGTTGCCCCACCGAACGATCATTGGCACTGACCATGCACTAGCTATAGGATTGAGCGTCCATTCAGGTAGACTTTTGCTCGGTAGTGCTGATTTTGAACCATTTAAATTTTGAACAGTTTTTTTATACAATTACATAAAAAAGCTTTATCATTGCAAAATTTCTCAGATGATCTTGAAAAACTGCTTAAACGGCTGAGAACCGGCAGTGTGCCTTCCGAAGCAACAACCCTTAAGTTCACCACGGCTATTCGCTACGCACTGGATATCACCAGCGGCACAAACTTTCTGCACCAGAATAAAATCATCCATGGCGACCTGAAACCAAAAAATATTCTGGTGAAGGAAACAGAAGGCCGCTACAAGCGACTGCTGATTGGAGATTTGGACGAGCATTGGCAGATAACTGGAACGGTGACCCGGTTAAAAGATGTTCCGCATTTTCATGGAACAATCCGTTATTTACCCCCGGAAATGTTTAAAAGATTCGGAACAGCTTCCCAAGTAAGTAGTGAAGAAAGAAATATAAATACAGGACGCAAAATGGACATCTGGAGTCTGGGTTGCATAATGCTAGATCTGGCTGACTGCATCGCAAAAAATGACGAGAAATGGCTGGAGAAAAACGAGTGTGAACGATCGGAAAAGATTGTAGCCGGGAAGAGCATTACGGACCATGTTTTTGAAGAGAAGCTGGTGAACGGTTTCGTTCCGCTCGTGCCGGATTTTATTCCAGGCTATTTTTCCAGCTGCATTCGTCAGTGTTTGCGCGCAGCTAGCGAAGAACGACCTTCGGCGGAACAGCTCTTGTCACTGCTGGAGAAAGCTGATAAGAAGGTGCCGAAGGAGCTGTTTGTCTTCTTCCACGGCCAACAGGGAAGTCAGTTTTCACCTATGCTAAAGCAGTCATTTGAGCCCCTAACCGGCACACTTCGACCGCTGCTGTTTCACAGGAGTTTGAAGAACATGCATTTTCGCCATGGTTTATTCACATTGGGCAATGCAGTCGTCTGTCAATCACAAAATAAAGAAAACGGGCAAGAGCATACAATAGTATTCGACGTCGCCCAAGAGAGCTGGCATACAACGACAACCGAAAGGGCAGGACTGGGGATACCTGCAAAATTTACAGTAAGCATTGACGATCATGTGTACTTCTGGGATGAAGAGGATGTTCAAGCACCGTTCAAAAGGCTGGACGGTAGAAAGTTTTCGACATCTCCGCTTCCCATGCCGCACTGGTAAGAGCTGTCTCTGTATGTATTGTGCACTTGCAAATGGGTTAACGACGTACTCATTTAAATTATGCGATCTAGGCCCTTTCACTCATTATCAAAAATAAAGGCTAATATGAACTGCGTTTTCATTCAGGATCAGAAGAGTTGACCGGATGGTCTGCACCAAGCACGAAATCTTTGTAATCGGGGCACCATCCAGTGAAAATGTTGGATTGGTGGAGCGCTTTGATATGATAACAAAGCAATGGGGACTACCCGGTTCAGTTGCATCACTGCCGGATGACCGTGTCGGCTTCGCTGCCGTTGCTTTCAATACAGAGCTGTATTTGCTAGGCGGTCAAACCAACTCTGATTCATCACTCCAACTGCTAAAATCGTGCGTCCGATTGGACTGTGAAACCAGCCAATGGGTGCAGGTTGGTGACCTTTTGCACGCCCGAACCAACCACTGCGCGTTCGTTTATCAAGACCAAGTGTACGTTTTCGGCGGACGCATGGATGGTCAGGACGGTCTAGCGCAAATAATGGAGGTGTACGATGCGAAGAGATGTCAGTGGTCCACCTTTCCGCTGCCCGACTTGGACGATATTGATATGGATCCAAACCTTAATGTTTCTTATGTCGTCAGAGTTGATATCAACGGCAGTCAGTCCCACTAACTCGGCACTGCCAAAGCTAATACAGGCGGAACTCAGTAATTTTTTCGTTTTTGTTTCACCCGGTTCACCTAATTGTAAGCTTGCATATAATAGTTTGTAGTAATCGCAGTTATTTCTTTAAGCAATATAGGCTTCTCACCTTCTTCTCTAAACGACTTTCTGTATTACTGGAGTTTTTCTGAATACCAATCATATCTCTGGAAAAAACGGCGCACTACTCTCAACCAAATTAGGCGAACCTTTTCATCGGATACACTTTTGTCTTTGTCATTTTAACGTACGAATGCGGGAAGTATTCAGGGACCATCGATTTGTTGTGATTGAGTATTTACTGTAACTACAATATTGTTTATTTATGCCTTTAAACCGCAAACGGTGCGTGTACTAGAAGATAGTAAAGCATGTGTTGTCGCATTTGTTGAGCGGAAAAATGCTTGAGACTTATCTATCAGAATTTTCCGTGGTGTATACAATACGCAAAATGAAATACGGAATTTAGCAAGTCTACAAATGTATAACAAAATACATCTTACAAAGGATAGAGGTACACTGACGAATTGATGAAAGCCGAGATTGCCGAAAAGCACTGAAAGCCGGGAATGCCGAGAAGCATTGCGGCAGCTCACACACGACAAGTTGGATTCCTTAACGTCACCCCGTGAGCTGACCAGGTAACGCACAATGAAAACGTAGGTGAGACAGATTCCCAAGCATCTGCAGCAGACATCATCGCCTTAACTTACAATATTGGTATGATGTTTCATTGAATTCTTAGATGTACCAGCAACGCACCGATAACGCCAAATTCCAATCGACACAGCAAAACTTGCCGGCCGTAATGGCCCACGGTTGCTGGCGCATCGTCTGCAGTCGCAGCAGCAACGCCACATCGTCCAGTCAATTGCTTCCGGTTGGACCGAAAAGGTCACGGGCATACAGTCGTAGAAGGACAGGTGTCCGCGGAACGGCCAGTACGCCGCGCCGGTTAACACTTCCCGACTTCCGGGTGGAGATACGCGTACTTTGCTTCGCGGACGATTAGGACGAGCAGGCACGCCCGGAATCCCAACACCAAGGTCACTGCTTCATCTCGCGCTTCTACAGATAACCGGTGGATCCACAGTCATGGCTCGGCGCCAGTTAGATTGATGATGATTCACTGGAACTGTTTTACTTCAGAGTACAAGCTATCCAGTGCTATATACAAAAGATTTATAAGTAGAATACACACTCTGATACACTCTAACATAAAAATATCAGCAGTGCACGCTCTGCTACGTTTCTGAAAACTTATTCGCTTAGGTGTATTGGACATACGCGCTTGGTGTCGGTAAAAGTGGAGAATGATGAACGCGCACAGGCACAATTTGCCTGTCCAGGGAAAGTGAGCGAACATAGTAGGAACGGTTTGGCTGGACAATGCGGTGGCCTGGATGGAGACCACGAGCTGGCGCAGGATAGCCGCGGCGTTGATCATTAGGTACACCAGTTTCCCCACAAACACCGCCCATCGCCGTACGTTTTCCGCACGAGAGGCAGAAGGTTCTGCGGGGATGCCAAGTACCAACCAGCGCAACAATGTCCACGATATACAAAGGTCAGGCTCGTACTCATCGCTTTTGCGTGCTGATTGCATTTCCGGCTAACCGAAACTGGCCAATGTAAACTGGCCGCTACGGATTATTCAACATAAAAACCGATTTTCCGTTTGGACATCGAGCGGAGTGAGCGCGAACGGATTCTGCTAGTACTCGTGTTCAGTGTGGAAAATGCGTGAGATTTATATCCACTGCTATTGTGACACAGTATCGGTGGTAGTTTTAATACCGCATTTGTGTTACGTGGCAGTTGTGACGACTGTACCCAATATCTGCACGCGATCATCTATCCCATTCGTTTACGCAGGATGACACTGATCGTGGCCGCCTGTTGTTACTGGGTGTGCAGTCAGCTGTCAGCCTGTCGCTAGTCTTGACAACTGACAAGGACGACGCTCCACAGCGGCTGAGCTAGCTACCGGAAACCATTGTCCACGAATACCGCTGCAGCTGGAAGTTCCGTAGCGGACAGATGTTAGGCATTGGAAAGGAACTGGAATACCTTCAGTTCGCTCGCTCCCGTCAGTTACTTTGGAAGGGAGAAAGCGCTCAGTTTCCTGTTCAGCGCCTTGAGATTCCCGTGGCAGTGCTCCGAGTGTTTTGCGAAATGTTTCTTCCCTGTGTCAGCTGTAGTAAAGCGTAGTAAAGCATTCCGATACGAGTGTTTGTTGGCATATAAGCGGATACACAGGGGCTGCATGGGTTCGATCATTGCACTCTGTAGCAGCATATTAAAGTAAATCGAACTCATGCACTGACGTTGTGAGCAGTTGCCGTTAAATTTACTCCGCATCCTTCTGCTTATCAAACATCTTCCTGATCAGATTTCTATTTGATTAAAATTTCAATTAATACATGGCGCTAAAAACCTAAGAAACCTAAGAAAACTGAGAAACATAAAAACACAGGGAAAGAAAAAGAGTTACAAGATACCGGAATCTGCGGTGGCCCAAGTGTCAGATGGCCAAAATGTCAGGTGGCCCAAATGTCAGGTGGCCCAAGTGGCAGGACACCGTTCGAGGCATTTCTGGCCAACCAATCGGCATGGAAGTTTTTATTGATGGAAGAAAACACTAATACTGCATTCCATTCCATTTTTTAAACAGCAAACAATATACATACCTTTGATATGACAATATTGTGGTAAGGTCACTAAGGTGTGACAAGTTAACAGTAAATTTTATATTGGACACAGGTACAACACTTCAACCGCATTTGAGCTTATTTACTTAGGTGAGCTATGTTACCAAGATATTTATTTTAAAGTGAAAATTATCTACTAGCTGTTAACCAGGGTTTTATTTCGACACTTCAGCAAACTAAACACACAAATCTGCACCCCATAAGAAGCTAGCTTGTACCGGCGACATGATCAGATTCTGGTGTGTACTCGTACATGTACGTTCATGCATTACTTTTTATACTGAAAAAATTAAGTACACTGTACTGTAGTTTCTACAGGTAATGTTATTGGACATTTGGTGGCTGGGATCCGGCAGCGAATCGCTCTTGGGTCGACATTACAGTACTACATACAGTACAGGCTGTACATTACATTACATTAGTTACATTACATTACATTACATTACATTACATTACATTACATTACATTACATTACATTACATTACATTACATTACATTACATTACATTACATTACATTACATTACATTACATTACATTACATTACATTACATTACATTTATAACCGCGGCGTGGAAACCGGGTAAGCTACGCTACGTGCAAAGCATTCTCGTGAATGTGAATTACTTGCTCCAGTTGCTAAGGACATTAATTTTGAGATGGGATCCGATCTCTAATGTGCCTTAGCAACTTGTGATGAACATAGCAGCGCTGCTGCGTCCAGTCGGCGTACGTGCACTTCATCCCTTCGAAGTTGGTGGATGGGGACGACCAGCGGCAGTGGATACTGCGATCAGGACTGAACAGCCATCACAATAGGAAGTTTTTATAGTTGCAAGAAAACAATAATACTGTACGAGTACTTATTCAGTCGGTTTATTAAACAGTACTCAGAGATAGATGACAATATTCTACGTAAATGTCACAATATTCTAGTACGTAACAATGTCATGATAACATTGGGTTTTAATACTGGAAACGGTTACAACACATTTGAACCGATTTCAGTTATTCATTTAGACAAGCTAGTTTTTTCATAAAAAAATTTCTGTTAAAGTAAGTGAAAAATATGTGCTTTACCTGGCGGCTGGTTGAACCGTGCCGCTTATAACAGTTTCAAGGAATGTTTTACTGTATATCCACATGTGGATGCAGCAAAAAATCCCAAGGAAACTGCGATCTCTGTCTTCAAAGGTACATACCCGTATCGTTCAATGTGGCATTCGCAATGACTTGTTTTTAGCCTGTAGGCGTACAGATACATCATATCGGAATGCTAAACACCACAGAAAAAAATAAACTGCAGTGCTTCCTAAAAAAATGTCATGCACTGCACTGCGTACGTGCAATTTTGATAACGTATAAGCGGTATATTTACTATCTGCTGGTAAACTGATCGCGGAAACCGTAAAGTTTTGTCCTTATCGAAAAAGTAAAAGTCAGAGCGTTGCCGTAAAAGTGTTGTCCTTACCGATGACGCTTGTTCCCGATACCAGTGAAACCTCATCGTACGTATACCCCCGAAGAAACGTACACCCTTCTATTACGTACGAGAAAGGCTGTACCGAATTTCGCCGTAGACTAGAGTACAGGGGAACCTCTACGTGACGTACACCTCAGCGTTGCGTACACCTACAGCAATTCTCCGTACCGCATAGGAATTTAACTGTACGCAGTCACCTCGTAAATGCGTACACCGCTGTTTCAGAACTGAAGATTTTAAACTTTCTATGGGGAAAGTTGTGAAAATCAAAGAAATAAGGAGAGCTTACTCGCAATCACTAGATTTTTGTATCCCGAGTTAGATTTTAATGATCTTTTCGGTTGAAATGTGTGCAAGGGAATTGTTTTCGTCTGCGTACATGCACACAAATTTTCATGCAGTTTTGTATGTGAACCACTAAATTACGTGTATTTTTAAGGCTTATTGCATTGCGCAGTGTTTACACAGCATTTCGTAGCGGGGCAGTGCCCCTAGGTGTGCATTCACCCCCAGGGGGGCTGGGGGTAGCTAATTTGAAATCTGTACACTCCTGAATTACGTACGAAATTTATTGTACGGAGGTGTACGTATTTCAGAGGTTTCACTGTTGTTAAACTGGTGATACGACAAAAAGCCCAGTCTAAAGTTCTTAACTAGTCGTGTGACCTTTAACTTTTTCCTGCAGCTGCAGACAACGATTGGGAATTCCCGGCACTCTCAATCGACCGAAATGACTGATGTGTCCCTGACAGCATTCACCTCGCCGCACGTAGTGCCTGTGCGAGCAGGTACGCTGCACGATGCGTGGAAGGCCTCCCGCCGAATGATGACGCACAGTATATGCGCTGCCGCCTTCTCCTGCTGGCAGTGCCGGTCAGTGTAGTGGGATACGGTGTGGACGGCTGCCCTCTGGGCGGTCCGAACCCGGGTAAGCGCTGGCAGGGCCACCAATATTATCCCCTGGCACGTGCTTGTCCCATAATTTCCATCGCATTAACACAGCGCCAACTACAAATTCACGGGTTGCGCCAAACTCCTTACTATTTAAAGAGGACCCTTAAGTATAACAAGTAAATCTTGAGAGGAGTAAACTTGTCACTGCGGTGGACATAATGAAGGGGCGAGTATTCCTAGCGCAGCTTCGGGCTAAATACGCTCCATCAGTACTTCGAATGCTGCCTTATATGGGCTCCCCTTATATTACTCTCCCTTATCTGGGCTCCCGGCTAGTTAGCAATACCCGTCAAATTAAATTTATCGGATTTATAGCAGAACCCTTTTCTACTTTTTCAACCGGATTTACAAGTGAGCACACCAAAGAATTCCGAAATTTCACATCCGAATTATATTTATATGTATTATCTATATAATAATATTCTTCATTAATTTTAACCGGATTTGCCAATGAACAAACTGAAAAATGCCGAAATTTCGTATCAAATTATTTTTTCATGGGGTTCTTAGTGCATTTAGACAAAATCGCATCTTCACGGTCCATTTGACAAAGTCACAAACATAAATGTTATAAAGATTTTGAATCTGTCGTTGATGCAACCTGAGCACTTTGAAACAAACTAAATGCTACAAAAGTACTGGCAAAATAAATATTTTAAATAAATCAAAATTTTCAGTCAGGCATAACACTGTTAACAGCTGCGAAAGTGTGATTAATAACGTAACCGCCCATATAGAGGGTTGCTCATATTGCTCGGGAGCCCATATAAGGCAGCATTCGAAGTAGCCTTAGGTTGAAAATTACGGGACAAGCCTGATAGTCGATTGGCCTTGCAGTACAGCGTTGGCGGGCAGCAGAGGTCGTGGAGACGGCTCCGTACTGGTAGACTGACCGTGTCGTCGACCTCTCCGCCCTGGAGGACGCCGCGGACCTTGTGACGACGACGACGATGCAGCCACTCCCCGATACCGTTACTGTCGAGGTGGGGGACCGGGCGTGGTTCGAGTGCAGGGTGGCCACGTCCGCACTGGCGCAGCGGATCGTCTGGCGCCACCAGAACACCAGCACCCGCGGCGTCAGCAATTACGCGCCGAGGCACTTCGACAACGCCGCTGTCCTCTTCATTCGCGAAGCCAGCCTCGACTCCGGCGGGACGGTCGAGTGTCTCCTGCCCTGTCATGGCGGTGATGACCTTTGCGTTGTGCGCACCTTCCACCTGCAGCCGACGCCGCGGAAGCTGCGCGCCAAGGACGTCTTCGTGCCGCCGATGCGCAGCGTGACCGTCCACAACGGGAGCTTCTCCATGACGTGCCGCGGCCGCTTCGACTGCAGCCAGACTCCGCCCGTGTCGCACTTCCTCTGGAAGTACGGCTACGGGAACTACGTCGTGGCGGCGCGCTTTTCCGCACTGCTGGGCGGGGACATCCCCGATCTGCTCAACGGCTCCGTCACCTCCGGTCGGCGCCAGGAGCGGCCGATCCCTTTTGTTCCAGCACGCTGACCCTTACCGTGCGCGAAGAGGGCTACCCCGATCCCTGGTCCATACCGGTGCACTGCTGGATCCGCACCCATGTCCACGTACCACCATCAGTGGTTTACCCAACACGCATTCGCTCGTATCACGCGACCTCTATAGCCAGCCGTGGAGTGCCGCGATTAATTGTAAATTTGTAAGGCACCGCAGTACCGTGTATCTGTCATTTTGTATGCGTACCTTGACAGCGTGGGCCGCCGTGCCGGTATTCATTTTTCTTACTGTTAATGCATGCGTGATAAGCACACCAAGAGGTGCTTGTAGCGTAGTTTTCCCAGGGACACCGTTATAATTTTGTTTTACTGGGCGTAGGTGGTTGTTCACAGAAATGTTTGCACTCTGTTGTTAATTCCGTGCTTTTATGTCATCGTTCATCAAGTGCATCAAGCTGCAGTTCATAAATTTAAAAGAAATATTTGTTTTTGTCCTGTAGGTACTACAGGAAAAACTGTTTATGGGAAAGATTCTTCGAAAGAATCTGAGTATAACGAGGTCAAAGGGTCGTCCTGCCACGAGCGTATGAAGGGAGTGAAGACGGATGCCGGATTTGGAGCAGGACGAAGCAAGAGTCTATTTAAGCATGATTGTATTCGACAACCACTTCCAGTCTGTAAAATTATTTTGTGCCGTTCTTCGCTTTTAAATTTTCGGTAAAATGAGTAAAACGCAGGAAGAACTTGAAGTTATGACATGTGAAGAATTAAAGGTCATGTTAAGAGAGCACGAGCTCACGGTTACCGGCAATAAAGCCGAACTCGTTAAACGTATGCTTGATCACCAGCCTGGACGTGCTGGCCATGGTGGTAAGAAAGATTCACAGCTGAACGCGTCGGGGAATACGGTCGATGATTTGGCTAAATCATTGGGATTGTGTGAAAGCACGGTTGCCATTTTGAAGAAGGAGCGTTTCGTTACCATTGAGAAAGTCCTTTTCCTCTCCAAAGATGACCTTTAGACGACTCCGCTGAATGCCATCCCGCTGTGCGACCGCAAAGATATTTGGACCTACATCATGGATAGCCGAAGTGAAGAGTCAGTGATTATTGTCCCACCTGCACCGTGCAAGAAGGTCAGCAAGCCCGCATCCGCGCTGGCAGAATTCGACCGAAGGGTCATGCCGGATCCGGTTGAATTTCCACGTTGCAGACCCAGTCCTGTTCCACCGGTCGAACAATTCCGCAATGGTGAGTTTGGCCTAAGAGAAGTTTTTAACTTGAAAAGTGACCCGTTGCCAAAGTTGGCAAGAAATTTGCCACGACCGCACGAGGTGGTGTATTCCCGCGCGCAAGCAGAGAAGAAGAAACCAGTTGGCGCCTTAGAGTTAACATACGCAGAATTCATGATTGGGTCGCTTATGTTGATTAAGCGGTTGAGTAAAATGCCGAGCCACGCAGAAACGTTGTGTGAATATGCCGAGTACGTTGAGTTCTTATCCAGTAAGGCTCCAGATTATGAACCAAAAGCTATATTGAAATTTGATGCTGGTTTCCGGCAATATGCCGAGCGGTTTGGTTGCTCACTGAATGATTTCAATGCGTGTGGAAATTTAATTCATCAGTGTTTTCACGCTGGTTCACTGTTGCCGGTTGACGCCCACGCCGTGAGCGAAGGTTTTCGAGGTGGTCACGATGGTCGGTCTCGCGGGTACGGTCGTGGAGCGTACAATGGTCGAGGAAATAATTATAGTGGCGACGGGCTGAAAAAACTGAGCTGTTGGGCGTATAACGAAGGGCAATGCCCGCGTGAAGAAGGAGAATGTTGGTACACTCACGTTTGCGGCTCCTGTTACGAGAAAGGCCACAATTGGCACGAGTGTCAGCGTAACCAGAAAAATAGCAAGCGAGGTGGGCGCAACGGCGCCTGATACTGCGAAATTTCAATTATGCATATTAAGCTGACGTTAAATTGTTTATGTTATTCATTGACAATTCTCAGTATGAATGGTATTGTAAATTGCTGCAGTTCTCCGTGTGAATTGTATTATTATTGTTGATTTAATTAAATTGCATTAAGTCATGGCAAAGTTTTCATGGAAATTTGCTTATTGAAAGGTCAGTGAAAATGGTTGAATGTAATAATCATTAACGGTCACTTCCAGTAAAATTCAGAACATTTAATTATTGAATAAATTCTTGAAATGAACGAATGAATGAAATTATTTGTGGTGAATTCCCGCAAATGCTGAAATTATTTGTGGTGAATTCCCGCAAATGCTGAAATTTAATTTATGAAAATGATGAAATGTGTCCATTGTATGCACTGTATTTTGGTCATCTCCAACAAATTTAGAAATAATGAAGTTGAATTTGTGAGAATCATTGAATGTACATAATTTGTATTCATGGTCAGTTCCAGCAAGTATTGAGACTGAACGTTGAATTTCTGAAAATGATTTAATGTAATGATTTATGGTTGATCTGCGAACTGCAAAAATTTAAGGGTTCCATGTGTGTTAAGGAATTGTGGCAATGGATTGCAGCTGGTTCTGCAAAGTGCGAAATAAATTCTGCTTAAGCCCATTGTTGAGCAAAATGTTTTAAATAACTTGAATTGCTGGTGATGTTCCTTTTTTGGGTTGCTTGGGCATGTGAAAAATATGATGATTTTGTTCTCGTAAACTTGTAGACTTTGTGCTACTGCTGTTTTATGTTCACTGTTTGTTCGCAAAATTGCCATGAATGTGAGAACGTAGAAGACCCGGCGCACAAACGTCGCGCCCAAATGAATAAACCCATGGCTGTTGAGAAGTTCCTTTCCTCTTGCTCCCCGTAGACCGTAGTTATCGTATAGTTAGAATACTGCTGGTCAGTGTAGCGGGATGCGGTGTGGAAGGCTGCTCTCTCGGCGCTCCGAGCCCGGGTAAGCTGTGCCGTATAGCTTTTCGCCCAACGATATTATCTCGGCGCAGGTGGCACTATCTGTCCAGTCCGCTGATTTACTCTTTGTGTAAGGAATACAGATAGAGCAAGGAAACAGATTCATGGGTTACGCTAAGATTCATACCGCGGCCCGCCACGACACGCTCTCTGCGCGTTAAGGCGCTGCGGGACTCGCGTTAGGCGTCCTATTATTTTGTCCACCATTCATTTTGTCCACCGTTCATTTTGTCCACCATTCATTTTGTCCACCAATCATTTTGTCCACCATTCATTTGGTCTACGCTATTTAAATTCAATATATTATAAATACAACATTACTACTTAATTTAATATTAATTTAATATTGGTTAAAATAAAACACACAACAGACACGGTCTGGGCGTAAGATGTAAGCAGGTAAGTAGACGCGCGCTGTGTGATGTGCATAAATTGAACTCATCCGTATGTTTCTTTACCGTTTGCTTATTACATGTAGTTTTTAACCCGCTGAATTTCGAAACGCATATAGTAACGCATACAGTTGCGCAGAACTAGGTACAGCAGCAGCATTACGCACAAATTAGTGAAATTACCGTACTCGATAATGTTTGCAGCAATGGCGCAGAATTTTGAAAAAAAAGATTGTGATATCTGCCATATAATATGAAACCATTAATATGAATGTGTGTACACGTTCTCATAGTACGTATTACTACGTAATACTTATCGGATTGCTATGCGAGTTTATTAAATTCATATTAACTTTGTCTTATAAAAAATAGAAATACCGTACTTTGGAATTGTATCGTAAACGAAGCGTACGGTGGACAAAATGAATGCTGGACAAAATGATTGGTGGACAGAATGAATAGACACGGCGCGTTATGGCCTTGCCACGCTTCATGTTAAGTTGTCGGCTGAAGCTGTTTTTTCACAAGGTGCGTATTTGCCATGTGTGTAACAGGAGCACTATGGTCACTGTCACACAACGTGTAATTACTTGTGATGTGAATATATACGGCCAAGGTGCATATAGTGGGATAGCGGGCCAAGGTGCACGTATGGGAAGTCCGAGGAAGCAGTCTCCGTATTTCCGGCCGTCACGCGCCTAGACTGTTGCGTTGTGGCAGAACAATCATGTCTTCATGCATCGCGCAATATAAGCAACTAAACTCACAAGATTAACAAGTACTTGTACATATTACATAATCGCACTTGACGTATGGGAGTAGGATCATACGCCGGATGTACGTACGGATGCTGACTGTCCGCCTTCCACCTGCAACACAACGGATAATCTAGTCAATCTCTTCTGTGATTTGCTGTTCTCTTTTATTAGCGATGTATATGATGTCATAACGCAAAGTCTATATAAGTTCTTGTTACTTCTAATATCGATATCAGTAGTCTGGGATTTACTTCTGAGACTGCTTTCTAATTACGATTTCCTAGCGTTGTGAACTGTGATGTGAATTGGATAAAGAGACAGCAATACTTGTTCCTACGGAAGTGCATAGTCGTTCCCGGATTATCGCTTAGTATACAGGTTTGCTCGTGACACAATCGTCCTAGCTCTTGCCGATCCTCACAGGACTTACGACCGGAAGTTGTGGTTAGCTTGTTCCTGAGGGATTCCTGAGTTCCTGTGTTCCTGAATCGTTAATCGCTTTCCTACCGTAATTCTTCTGTTACAGTTTGAGAGTACGAGTGCCTACCGATTGAGCATTACAGGCGTGGAAGAGTAAAGATTGTTCATGGAGCCTTAAACGGCGTGAACGCTTATACACGACATGGCGCCCACCGGTGTCTTTTAATTTTCCCGATGTTACAGAAAATTATTGGTGGAAAGTTTGATGGTAATTTACAGTAAAAGTGGTCCGTTTTTGAAAGGCGTCGAACCGCAAAGGTACGCCGAAGGAGGTCAGCGTTCCTGATCTGGCCTAGTTAATTTATTTTTGGCGAGCTTCCTCGCAATTGTGAGCTTCCTCACTGGTGAGCTTCCTCGCCAATTAAATTAATTACTTAATTTAAATTGGACCGTAGGAATTTAACAGTCGAAACCTCAAAGGTCGGCTGTGTAATTCATTGGTATCTGTGTGGGTAATTTCCGGGTTGTCTGCGCAAAGCAGTAACCGCGGCGAATAAAGCGTAATCTGCAGTGTCAGTGTACCTGGACTGCAGATAGAGCAGATAGTAAGCACCGAGCCATTGTCAGTGGCCAGGTGAGATAACGATCTCCAGCAGACTGATAAAGGCAAGCCGCAAGCGGTAGCCAGAATCAGCAGCTAGAGAGAGTTGACCGTGAAAAAGGTAAACACCGGCAAACGGTGATTGACCTGTGAACTTTAAATTGCTGTAGCACGCAAAGTGCAGCAGTGTAATTTTAGGAAGTTATTACAGTCGAAACCGCAAAGGTCGGCTGTCAGTAAACCATCACCGAACAATTCAAACCTAAAAGGAGGATTGGGAAGTGACGTAGCAGTAATTGCACAATTGCAATTTTCGAAACCGGCAGCACAATCGCTGCTGTATCTCTTATTTTAATTAGCCGCAAAGGTTAATTTTAAAATAATAGCTGAAATGTCGGGCGGTTCGATTCCTAGAAATCGCCCACCACCGCGTAAAATCCCAGATAATAAAGTGATCATTGGGGCGTACGATGGATCGAGAGCTCAGACAAGGTTCAAATTCAACGCAAAAGAAATTCCGTTGAATTTGATGTATATTGCTCTTAATGTTGAACCACCAGAAGCACAAGATGCAT